ACAGATGCGAAAGAACACCGAATTACGCGTTCAGGTTTCTGTGACCTTCAGAAAGAGTTCATAGACAATCCGCATCAATGTATAGTTTGGGTTATTATTTGTTTGGGTGAAAATAATCTGCACCAATATGTTATCGAGGCATACAAAATAGTCCACAGACTTCGAGACATACGAAAAATCAAGTCCATTTAGCGTGTGTCGCAATTTTCACACCTTAAAAAAATCGTTTTTTATAGCTATAGCAACTGCAGCGACTATGAAAAAAGCTGTGTGATTTTCATAGAAAATAAGGGCACCTGTAATTCATTTGAGAATGTTATAAATCGCTAAAAGAGGTTTCAAATCTCTTGGATTTCTATTAATATTAAATAAATTTTATTAAAAATTGAACTAAAATTGTTAGTATCATTAAAAACAATTCAAATTCAAAAATTGTATCAGTCAAATTCCCTCATTTAAGGTGAATATTAAAATAAATATAAATACAGCTCATTCTAAGCTCTACTTATCTTTAAGAAAAATTTAAATCATTGTTGCAATTGGGCCTTAATGCCCTTTCGAATGAACAATAGTATTAATAATGTACATTATAATAACAATAAATTTTATATCATAGTGTGTATTAAAACTATTAAAACACTTTTAAATTGGTATTATATTAACAACTTTTGTTTTTTAATCCAAAAAAAAGTTACCAATTTTCTCAATCAAAATATTTGTGGTCCTGAAAAGAACCGTTTTCCCATGTTCGTCAAGGTAGGTAATGGGTAAACGGTAAAAAAAGAGGATAATGAAATTTAAAAAATTACAAAAATTGTTCAAAAGTGCCTCCCTCTTGCATTAAACCAAACGATCATAAAATCCCCTCCTCACATTGGATAACATATCAGGGGTGACAGTGTCAAAGGCATTAAATATTTTCTGCCTTAACTGCTCCAAGTTTTGAATTTCTTCATGGCCGTAAATTTTAGATTTTATGTACCCCCATAAAAAGAAATCATTCACCGAGAAGTCAGGTGAAATTAAACGTCAGTCTAAACAAAACTGTCATTTTTGAAAACTTGTCAAAATTTGGACACACGCTAAATGGACTTGATTTTCCTATGTCTCCTAGTCTGTGGACTTTTCTGTATAATCTCACAGTAATTTAATAGATTGCTCGTCATATTATATCAGCTCGTAGGAGATTAGGAAAAAAAAAGATATTTTTAGTATAAAAAATTAATTTATTTAACAAAATTTAATTAAAGATGTGACAAAATAGTTACATTTCTATTGGTTCTATCGGACTTTTTTCGACTATATAAATCTTTATTTTTTGTAAACTTTAATGCATAAAATATTTTCAATCTAATTAATAATTTAATGATGTAAATAAGAGGAAATTTCTCACATGGGTGGTCAAATTCTATAGTTTTCATTATATCAAACAGCCTCTGAATGTTTTCTTCAGTGCAAAACTCATCAAAATTTAATATAAATAATTTTTCCAGCCTGTAAATAAAATGAACAAATTTTTCCACTTTCATGATCAAAGGCTTTTAAATGGGTAAATAATTTCGAGTTATCCAGAGATTCGGATTCTTTTGCAAATTTTAGACAAATATCACATTGATGTATTTGAAGACCCTTTTTAATGATGTAGTCAAACATAATTAAAGGCATTTTGAGTTGAAAACATTTCTCAGAGGCTGTTTGATATAATGAAAACTATAAAATTTGACCACCCATGTGAGAAATTTCCTCTTATTTACATCATTAAATGATTTATTAGATTGAAAATATTTGATGTATTCTAGTTTACAAATAAAAATTTATATAGTCGAAAAAAGTCCGATAGAACCAATAGAAAGGTAACTATTTTGTCACATTTTTAATTAAATTTTGTTAAATAAATTAATTTTTTATACTATAAATATCTTTTTTTTTCCTAATAAATAAACACATTTGCATCCTACACAAAAATCTATCCTCAACAAAAATCCTACACGCGTTTTTAAAAAGAAACATATAACCACGCACTATGTCATTCCAGCAAGCGAATACGACACAGCATAGGTTTCCGGACTAAACGACTGGTGTATTTACACCACTCAATAGGCGTGTCGGGTTTGTCGAGCGGTTTCCGATGCAGTCGCTTTCTTTCGCATCTGTTATAGGTAATTTGTGGCATTGTTGTGATCTTCCGGAGGAGTGCACATGATTTTAGTTAGAAGCCCCGTATGCCCATGTATATGTGTTCAACATTTCTTGCAATTGCTGTAATGTATTTGCAACTAGAGCACAGTCATCGGCGTATTGAAGTACTGTGATGAATTTTGTACGTGTTTTTGCCCTGAGTCTTTTTATGTTGACCGCCGCGGCCGTCGTATCTGTATCTAATGCCCAAACCTCTCTCCTGCAGTTTGCTCTCCACTATAATGGAGACCGCTGCCATGAATATATTGAATAGGAGAGGCGCTAAGATACATCCTTGCCTAACGCCTGTGTTTGTTAGGAAGGGATCGCTCTGGTGATCCATGACATGACACTCTGATTTGTTGTTGTTATGGAGGCTTTTACACACTGTAAGAAATGTGTTGGGTACTCAGAACTTTTTCATAATTGCCCAAAGTGCATCTCTGTTCACAGAGTCGAAGACTTTTGTTAGATCGATGAATGCAACGTAAAGTTTAGACTGCTGCTCTTTTACTTTTTCCTGTAGTTGCCGGATGGAGAATATGGAATCGACGGTACCACATTTGGTGCGAAAACCCGTTACTTGGACCCATCAACTGAATAAGCTGCAAAATGATGATATAAAAAACAATCTTTAGACTCTGACAACTCTGAATTGTGAGGACATTTGTTTTTTATTAACTCGATAGACAGATGTATTCAACACACCTGGTATATTTTTGACACAAAATTTAACAACCGTAAACCCCTTAAGGCACTGTAAATTTCCTGCATGTCATTTTTTATCTGAAGAAGATATTGGTAAAAATATTCAAGATAAACAGGTCAAGATGTATCAAAAAATGTTAAAGTACAGTTATTGATGGTCTCTCTCAAAATACTTTGTATCGATTATTATGCTGTTTTAAACACACTGAAGATTGTTATACGTAATACAGGGTGTGCCATTATTACCTGGACATAGAAATATTACGTATTTTTAAAATCAAATCAACTTAATGTCCTTTTTAGAGGAATTCAATAAAAAATAAACCAAACTACTTGATTTCGACTCTCTATATGACAATAAATGTCTTCTGTATAGATAAAAATATGCCAAGTTGCAGTTTTTTTGAACTTGTAAAAAATTGTACTAAAATTTATATAGGGATGAGGGTAGTTTTCAACTTTCTCGTACCATTTCTGTTTTTTTTTGTTCATAGAATATTGGGACACCCTGTACAGCATCATAATGACACTGTAATTTTTATAATTCATGCTTAAATATATAGGACGACGACCTATGTGCCCTATTGTTTTTGTTTTCCTATTTAACCTTTCAAGTAAACGATTATTTCCTATATTATTTATGCTTTTGTCTATAAATGTTGAAATTAAACAAAAAGCAAATTTTTTTAGGATATAATATGAACTAGATTAACTGCTAATTTTGAAATCTGAAAATTAACTTCAAAATAAGAATTATTCTAAAAGAAGTTTTGTGCTTTTTGGGATACTTCCCAGTGAACAATATTTTGTCACATTTGAGGAACAGTTTTATTCATGCGACCAATTGCACACACATGTTTCGAAACTGTTACTTTTATGTGTACGTGGGAAGTAAAGCACGGTGACACAACGCATTTTAGGCAAAAATTCGGAATTCTGTCAATACATGCGTAAACTAATACACAAATTAGACACATATCACTCAATTTTTTAAAAATTTACCAAGAAAATTATTTGTAGAGTGAACAACTGATAATAATTGAAAACTTTTTCTCATTTCTTACTTTATTCATTTTTATGTCTGAATTATTAAACACTGTCTATCCTAGGAAGACCTTTGATAAAAGTACTTGGCAGACACATGCTAAATAAATCAATTATAAAGTACAAACATTGAACATCTATTGTTTGTAATATTGCTGTATAATATTGCATAAAATTATTCATAACGTTCAAATTCGATGACAAAAATTGAATAGTCACAGACATCACCGTTTTTAATATCAGTTTATTTATATTAAGTTTTATTAGTTGTTTCTTGGGTGTTGTGGCTATGGTCAATTAAAACAAAAATCTTTCGACGTTTCGCATTTAAGGTAATGCTTCTTCAGGAATGTTTTCTTGTCTTTCTTATATCTTGGATAAAGTAATGCTTTATTTATCGTCACAAATATAACAATATTGCTTTAGACTACACTATTAACAAGTTTTTGTAATATTTTAGAAATCTTCCTACAATGTTGTTTAAATTAAGTGATTGTTGAATACTAGAAGTGATTTAATTTGAAAATATTCCATCTTACTTATTAATTATTGGAAAATTTAGACCAAAGAGTGAGTTCAAAAAAACATACAGTATGTCCCCGGATTGTCTTTACAAGAGGAAATTTTTTTTTATTATAGGCATATCGAGAAAAATGCATTCTTCATAAAAAAAAATTACCATAGAAACGCGTTTTGATTTTTAGAACTTTGAAAAAATTCAACTACATTTTCATATTTTTTTTTTAATTTTCGTTGTAGTAATTTCCAGTGAAACAGGAAGTGACCAAAAACAATTGAATACGTCAATCAATCCTAATTTATGTCATATACTAACATATCAAATTTCGTTTTTTTATCTGAAAAAATAAAAAAGTTATAGGGTGAGCCATTTTTGAGACGCATCCCGTATATATTATTTTTGTACAATATGCCCTTCAAGCTATTTTCGTTTTACTATTTGATATTTAATAAATGGAATTAACTGACGCAAGTTTTTTTTTCTAGTAAAGTACCTAGTTGATGAACAACAATATAATTGATGAATAATTATTTATTAAAAATTGTTTCAGATAATAAAAAAACGAGTGACCATGCTCGACAAAAAGAAAATTCCTGTAGTTTTCAGAAAAGATCTACCAAGCGATTTGGAGAAAATTAAATATGGGCATTATATTAGGGACGATTGGGACTACCCTATACATTTATACTTGAAGGAAAACGATATACGTGTGGATGAAAATGGGAGTGAGATAGTGAAATTTCTTAAAGGAAAGTGTGTCCTCATTACAGGAGCCACAGGATTTTTAGGTAAACATAATTAGAATTAATTTATTTATATTTTTTATTTGTTTTAATTATATTATATACGTGTTCACGTTAAGTTCCTAAATTTAATGAATTAATTAATTTTTAATAAAAATACTGTAAATTTTATCATTATATACAGGGTGTTTCAAACCAAATGCGAAAAATGTCAGGGTTGTGATTCCTTGTTCAAAATAAAGGGTAGTTTGCTTCATAAACGTTGGGTCAAAAGTCAACCATTAGAGAGATATCGCGGTACAAAGATGGCGGAAAAATAATGTTTTTATTTTTTATCTTGAAAACGAAAAGAGATAGACTAATGAAATTTTACGGAAGCATTACTGTTATCAAAAAACACACTTTCTGGTAATTTTTTCACTTTTTTCAAAAATGAGTGGAAGGGGTTGAAATAAACTACCCCTATCATTCTTGTTAATGAAATTTAAAGAAAAATCTTATCAAACACATGCAAAAAAAATTAATTTTGATAGTTTAGTTTATTTAGAAACTTTTTTATCTCTTGTGTTTTTTGATAAAACTCACTGATTTGAAATTAAAAAATAAAATGTAAAGCATTACATGTCAGGACAAAAAACATTTTTAGATAAAGAATCTAGTGGGCAGCTGTAATTTTTTTAGGAAAAAATCTAGTCGGCCGCTGTCACTTTTTAGGATGTTTCTAATATTGTTTTATTTGACATTACCCTACTGCAATACGTTATTATCTCGATTATTATTATTATCATTATTATCACTAGATTCTTAATCTAAAAATATTTTTAGTCCTGACATGTAATGCTTTACATTTTATTTTTTAATTTCAAATCGGTGAGTTTTATAAAAAAAATACAAGAGATAGAAAAGTTTCTAAACAAACTAAACTATCCAAATTAATTTTTTTGCATGTGTTTGATAAGATTTTTCTTTAAATTTCATTAACAAGAATGATAGGGGTAGTTTTTAATTTACAGGTATCTCTTTTCGTTTTCAAGATAAAAAATAAGAACATTATTTTTCCGCCATCTTTGTACCGCGATATCTCCCTAATGGTTGACTTTTGACCCAACGTTTATGAAGCAAACTACCCTTTATTTTGAACAAGGAATCACCCCCTGAAGTTTTTCGCATTTGTTTTGAAACACCCTGTATATTAATCGGTTTAAAACGTTCTACGTCTTCCGATGCTATCTCTCCATGTACCGTGTCCAAGAGATCTTTTCTCCATAAACGTATCAATCCCTTCCTGCCAACTTCTTCTCGGTCTACCCGGTTTTCTTCTTCCTGCATGTTTCCAGTTTATAATTTGCTTTGGGATTCTTATTTCTGCCATTCTTTGGACATGCCCGTACCATATGAGTTGACTGCTCTTTATCTCGTCCACTATTGTATGTTTAACTTCCATAATCTCTCTTATGCGTTCATTAGTTATTCGCTCGAGTCTTGATTTGCCTGCTGATCTTCTCCAAAAATCCATCTCTGTAGCTTCCAGCATTCGTTTTGTTGTTTCCTAAATTGACCACACTTCACAGCTGTACGTGGTTATACTCTTGATGATGGTATTATATATATATTAGTGTTTATAATTGCTGTATCCAACAGTCCATCATTTGTGATTTGCATACCCAAATATTTGTATTTTGTGCAGCACTTAATTTCCTTCCCTTCTTCTAGTATTAGATCTTGTTGTTCTCCTCCGATACACATATATTCTGTTTTGTTAGTATTGATCTCGAGTCCCCATTCCTGATATTTTTCTATAAGCTTACGTGTCATATAATTTATGTCATCCTAATCTTGTGATATGATCACCTGATCGTCCGCGAAGCAAAGTGTGTAGAGCATGTTATCCCATATGGGTACTCCCATATTTCTAGATTTTTGCTTCCAACCTTTGAAAACTTGTTCGAGATATATCTTGAACAGTGTTGGTGAAATACAGCACCCTTGTTTCAGTCCTTTGGTTCCATTAAATCCTGTTGTTAACTTTTTGTCGAATTTTATTCTAGTTTTTGTTTGTTTATATAATGATTTTACTGCTTTTATTAGCTCTACGTTTATATTGTTTTTTTCCATAGCTTCCCAAAGTCTTTCGAATAATTTTTCATGGTACCTAATTAAAATGTTACCTACAGGTCAACCTGAAGTAAGTAAGTCTAAAATAGCCTACATTTCCGTATTTTACGACTTTTAATTTGTATATACCAGTTGTTTCATCAAAATCGGTGACCAAAATCAACAAATTTCATGAGTATGGAAAAAAATTGACTATATTTTTGGCTATTTTTAACAAGTTTTCAAGGCTCTTGGAAAAATAGTAAACATTATCATAAAATGATAAAAATTTCAGCATTTGTAGGAAATTTTATGTAGATTTAGCCTGTATAATGAGTTAATAGCTTAATTGTTTTTTTTTTGTAAGAAACTGGATTTTTCGAACCCATATTTTCTAACGATTTTTAATGGTAACTATAATATTTTCGTGTTCTACGTCTTTTAATTACTAAATAACAATGTAGTTCCATCAAAATCGTATGGGAAAAAAGATGAAAAATGGTCCATTTTTTGAGTATTCAGTTTTCTTATTTTTTGGAGTGCCTAAGGGGTGTCTTTTTGCCATGGTCGTGCAACAATTTTTTTCCAAAGTGTATTTTTGTATAAAAATTTTATTTAAACTTTTTCTTTTACACTATACTAATTTTTTGTGTTTTATATAATTCAAAAATTTCCAATTTCTGGCTAATTCGGAAAAACAAAACCCGTAGTTGCATAATAATATATTCTCATAATTATTATTATACATTAATCCTGTTTTATAGAAAATGTACTCCAACGTATACTTCACACACACACCTTGATTATTTCCAATAAATAAATCATATATTATAATGACGTTAGTATAGTTCTAGAGATTTAAACACAGCAAATTAAATACCAATAAAATTTGATGCATTTTCGCTGAAAGAAAAACTAATTTTCTAGACAGTCTATAATTTTCCAATTAGCCAAGCGATCAATTTAGGGTCATTAAATAAAATGAAAGTTAGTAATTAATTTTTTAAAAATAGCAAACGTTGGAGACTCGGTAGGTATTCTAGAGAATCAAAAATTATTTTGCGGGTTATTACTTAACGTTTATTTGCAAGCTTAAATCAGATACATTTTTCATAATGAGTAATAAAAAGTAACTTATGTCCTTTACTTAACTCTAAAAATAAATATACAGGTTGCTACAAATTCGAGGTACGAACATTGGTATCTCGTTAACCGTAATAGATACAAACATGGTTAAATTGGGACAAAGTTGCGCTATTTTTTTTTCGACGGTACAGTATAAATTGAAAGGTCTTAACTCATACAAATAAACTTCTAAATTTTGACGCAAAATTCATTGACATAATATGTAGGTATATTTTAGAGCTGTTAATAAAAATATCCAATGAATAACGTCAAAATGTGGCTAAACAAAACTAAATCGGGAACGTTTTTACTATAAACTAAGAATGAAGAAAGTATTATCAAATAACAGTCCTCATATAATGTCCTAAAAATGTTCTATAATGCTCCCAACATCATCCTTGTATTATCCTAGAAATATCCCAAATAATTGTAAAAGGCTTGCCTAGGGATGTCTTGAAGATGACTTTTTTTGTCCCATCTGGATATCCCATAAATATCCTCTTCTGGTTTTTGGATATCCCTAAGATATTTACTATATCCTTGGTGGATATCCTCAAGATATCTATAGGATTGTTTTGTGTTATATGGGAATTTATTTAAACTAATTTCAAGTCCGGCTCTGTTTTTTTTTAATATTTAATCTTTTTATCGTTACAATATTGATAAGCTTTGAAACTTAAAAATGACGTGGGGTAAATCATTATTGTTGCGATGAATGTAAGAAGATTAAATAATTTAAGAAATCAGAGTCGGCCTTACAGCGCTTTCAGATGGAGCGGAGCGTCCGCGACGGATCGTCCGCAACTTCGAGCAAGTACCATGAGTTTAAATGAACAATTTCACATGGGCGCGTATGCTCCGTCCGACGGAGTTCGTCCGACGGCTATCTTGAAAAAACACGACGGACCGTCCGTCGCTATGAGAATGTGATTGTTTTGATGGCATCTTGGTGAACAAAACCCTATACGCAACTTTGCCCCAATTTAACCGTGTTCGTATCTATTACGGTTACCGAGATACCAATGCTCGTACCTCGAATTTGTAGCACCCTGTATAGCTTCCGATTTTTCCGAAGTTCCTCAATTTTTTCGACTTATAACCAGTTTTAAGAAAAAAATGTATCTAAAGTTGTTTTTGGTTCGGAAATATATAAAAGCATTGTAATTTTAACTAAATAAATATTAATTAATTTCTAGTAGAGTATCTATTTAAATTTTACCGTTTTTCATAAAAATGCATTTACTATAAAACCAATTTTACATTCAAACTGATATTTACATAAAAATAAACTAGACTGTGAACTAATATGACCTGAGAAAATGAATATGTATTGACGTAAATGAATAAACATTATAATTTATTTGTGATATAATACTTCATGCCTTATTTTAAGTAGGTACCTAATCCTCTACTAAAAACTAATTCAGTTTAATTTAAAGAAAAATATCATTTATATTCCTGTTTTAAAAGACGCTAAACGGAAATATGATTAAAAAGTTTTTCCTAATATCATGGTCCCATTTGGAAAAGTATAAACAGAATAATTAATCATTTTAAAACAAAAGCAAAATCTTTTATGAAGAATACATTTTTCCCAAACATCTTAACAATAAAACAGTTTTGCCTCTTGTAGAGACGATTCCGGGACATACTGTACAATTATAATTAATTAATAAATTATTTAATAATTATACTTATTGATTTTTTAGGAAAATCATTAATAGAAAAATTGTTAAGGTCCTGCAAGGATATCGACACAATTTATATAGTAGTTAGAGCAAAAAAAGGCAAAAATATTGAAGAGAGAGTTAATGAACTTCTAGATAATTGGGTAAGTTAGATATATACAGGGTGTCCCGATATTCCGTACACGTAGAACTACTACCATACTTTTGACCAAACTGTATCAGAGCTGTCTAGATTATAACGATCGATGTAATATTACCTGTAATTTTAATTCAGAGGCACCTTGTACCCAAAGAGATAGAGAAAACCCTTTAAACAGACTTTACTATATAATTTTAAATATATAAAACATCATCGATCGTAATTTCTTAGATAACATGACGCCGTTTTTTTTTCGATCGTACCCGGTACATTGTCTAAAGGCAGATTATTGTTTAATTTTCAGGTATTTTGTCGGTTAGCAGATATAGTTCCAGATTTTCGTAAAAAAGTTGTAGGAATCAACGGTAACTTTGAAGAATCAGACTTAGGATTGTGTGAAAAATCACGAAATCTCATAGCAGATAAAGTATGTGTGATTTTAATAATAATTAAAATTTATTTAAAAAATTACTAAAACGAAGATTACTAAAAATTCTAGAAATTCTAGAGTCTAGGGTAAAGATTAAATCATAATAATCATACATATATGATTGTTGATAAAAAACAATAAATAACAGTTTTTTGTTACTAGTGAAGGTAACTTAACTGTTGTATTAAAAGTAACTGTACACAAAATAATACACCTTTCTTTTTTATCCTTATCTTGACGTTTTAACAATAAAATCAATAAATCCAAAAAAACTGTTATTTTGAACTGTTATTTCGACTGCTATCTAGAAATAACAGTCTTGTCCACCACAGAGCTGGGCAAAACTTTTATTTCTAAATAGCAGTTAGAACTGTTATTGTTGAGATTAAATATATCAGTTTATAACAGTTAAACCGTAAAAAATTAAACGAAATACTGAATTTTAGTATTTTTTAAAATCATTATGTATTTATTTATGATGTTGGTTATGTAAATTTTATGTTTTTAAAGCGATCATATCACTCAAGATTACTAAAAAATCTAGAAATTCTAGAATCTATAGTTGAGGTTAAGTCATAATCATCAAACATGATTGTTTATAAATAACAGAAAATAACTGAAAATAATACTCCTTTCTTTTTGATCCAATAAAATCAATAAATCCCAAAAAAAACTGTTATTTTGAACTGTTATTTTTCAAATAACCACAACTGTTTTGACTGATATCTAGAAATAACAGTCTCGCGTACCATAGAGTTGGGTAAAACTTTTATTTCTAAATATACTAAAACTGATAGTTTTAATTAACAATACCAGTTAGAACTGTTATTGTTAATTAACCATAGAGAAAGTTAATAGTTTAGAGAGTGGTGAATCGCGTGGTAAAATGTTGGGAGATTGCGCTTTTAGCGCCCTCTACTTGGCTACAGGTACGAACTATGAAAGAGCGGGAGATTTAAATTATTATTATACTTATTATTTTTAAGGCAATTAAAACTAAGAGTGCCCTTAACCAAAAACAGTGATATAAATGGAGATACCTACTCAAATTTTATATTATCATGATACTAAAGGATATAAATACAGCATTTATAATCCTTTTACACCTTTTTATTCAAAGTCTTACACGCTAATATAAAATTTGACTATCTCCATTTATTTCACTATTTTTGGTTAAGGGCACTCTTAATTTTAATTTTCCTTTTTTTATGGGAAAACGATTAAATGGGAAGAATTGAATGGGAATGGAAACAATGACCAATTATTGTATTTTGTGTTAATTTATAATACCCCTACTCTACTAAATATCTAGCTACATTGTACTTACAGTTAAATAGCTACATTGTACTAGTTATATCCATATTTACAGTTTTATGATGGCTATTATTTTATTTCAACGTGCTACCAATTGATTCGCTCCGACTTGAGTACTTACTATACCTCGAGATGGCTCCAGGAATTATTTATCTTTACAGGCCTAGAATATGAAGATTCACAGTAGAATTTTTGGTTTTACTACCTATTAGAAACAAACCTACCCCCCTACATCAAGGGACATACAATTATGCCTTGTTCTCGGCCATGATATTCCTTCCATTCTATATCCAACATCCAACTTAGCAGACCTTCTGGTTCACAACAGGGCCTAGACTGGCCGGATGATATTTTAACAGAATAGCCCTTGATATCTCCTTCACACTTTTATTTAATAATTAAATAGGAGGGCTGGATGGTATAATTTCTAGAAAGAATAGCCTGTGAAATAAAAACTTCTGCATGGACATTACCTTTCTTACCTTTGTCTGCTATTTTTTAATAAAAAACAACTGTTTAGTTTGCACAAAAATAAAATTAACAATCAAAAATATCTTAAAAAATGATCAAGCCTTGTACTACGCCGCGTGCCGGTTTTTGAACAAACAACAAACAAAAGAATGAGGTTAGCGGCGTTGCCAATGTCAATTTTCTAAACTACCCAAAAATCTAAATAAATTCTCCAATTTGGGGAGAAAAATGTCCCGATTCACAAAATTCCCCATATGATTATTTTAACAAAAAAAATAATTTTAATAAAAATACAATATTTATTATATATGTTAGAGAGATTAAACTGTAAATTACCTCCTTGTTTTTAATCCCTTCCTAGTAGTCATTAAATAATTTGAGGTCACTAAATTTTCTTTCAACTGAAGCATTTGCAAAGGGAAGCACAAGTAAAAAGCAGATTATAATTTTTAAGTTGGGAAAGATATATCGTCCCGCTCCGTTTTTAAAGCTAAAAATTTTACGCCATTTTCAATCAGCAATAAAATGTTGAGACTCCCCTTATTTTCGCCGCCTATTGCTAATCCCCACAAAATTCCCAATCGGCTCCGGATTCCCCAAAATTTGGGGAATTCCCCACAAATTGGCAACGCTGGAGGTTAACGTGTTCTTTCTGAATATGCTAAGACTAACGGACTAGTGTCGAAACACAGATAGCTAGATGGACGTATTTCGGCACTTGCGTCGATGCGCTACAGGTACATTTGCCTGCGCGTCGTATGTCTTCTGGCAGTCTTTTAATTTTTCTGTTTGTCTATGTAATTAAAACTATCAGTTTATAATAACAGTTTAACTATTATTTCTATGGATGTTGTAGGTTTTTTTACGCACAATTTGACATCCTAGCAATAATACTGAAATAACGATGACAGTTTAGAGCAAAGATTCTATTTCTAAATAACAGTTGAAACTGTTATTGTAATGTCATTTAAAAATAACAGTTCAAAATAACAGTTTGTCGTGTTTTCTAGGTAAATATAATATTCCATGTAGCAGCAACCGTCCGTTTTGACGAGAAAATTAAAACGGCCGTAGCTGTTAACATTAAGGGGACCAGGGAAATGGTAAAAATAGCGAAATCGTGCAAAAAACTGGACGTTTTTACCTACGTGAGTAGCGCGTTTTCAAATTGTCACGAAATGGAGATAGAAGAAAAATTCTACGAGCCCCTGATGGATCCTGATACTCTAATTGAGCTTACTGATAGGTTCTCAGATGATGTTTTGGATAAGATAACACCAGGGTAATATCATCATTCATTATTGACTATCAATTTCAAATAAAAGATTTTTTTCCTAGTCTTTTAGGCTCTACACCCAATACCTATACGTTTACAAAGCAAATTGCTGAGAGTATAATAAAGCGAGAAGCAATAGGACTGCCAGTGTGTATGCAAAGGCCATCAATAGGTAAGTATTTTATGATAATAATCATATGAAAAAATATTTAAATATTTTTAAGTAATTTTCACTCATTTTATTAGTAATTGCATCTGTCAGGGAACCTATTCGTTCGTGGGTAGACAACATCTATGGCCCTGTAGGACTAATCCAGGGTACTGCAATCGGACTATTACACGTTATGCTAGGAGATCCTGAAAAGGCTGCAGATTTAGTTCCAGTGGATTATGTGATTAATAACTGTATCGCCGCGTCATATAAGACAGCCAAAGAGAAGTAAAGTATTTACATACCGGGTATTTACATCGTTGAGCGGGACATAGGAAATCCCATGTAAATTTTAATGGGGTCAATTATTGACTTCCCGAATTATTTTAGAGAATAATTCTATTTAGGTTTATTGAAGAGCACTAAAACCCACATTCAAAAGAATAACTTTAGATATTTTTGATTAGCCCGTTTACGAGTTATCGCTGATTTCTTTTTAAATATTTCTCCTTTCTTATGGCCCTGTATTTACTTATGAGCACCAGTCAAGGTAAAAGATAACTGTCAAATGAAGTTGTCATTTAAGAGTATCTAAATTAATAAGTTATTGAATATTGTAATAATACTATAATTAACCTTGTAATTGATTGCTTTATTTTACTTTAATTCTTTTTTATTTTAACTTTCTTTTTTACTTTAATTCTTTTTTATAAATACAAATATTAATTTGTATTTATAAATACATCTTTAAGATTTCAGATGTAGGAATGAGTTTTCAATAATAATAAAGCACTAAATAGGTAAAATTCTGAAATGACAACTTCATTTGACAGTTATCTTTTACCTTGACTGGTGCTCATAAGTCATAAGTAAATACAGGGCCATAAGAAAGGAGAAATATTTAAAAAGAAATCAGCGATAACTTGTAAACGAGCTAATCAAAAATGTATAAAGTTATTCTTTTGAATGTGGGTTTTAGTGCTCTTCAATAAACCTAAATAGAATTATTCTCTAAAATAATTAGGGAAGCCAATAATTGACCCCATTAAAATTTACATGGGATTTCCTATGTCCCGTCCGACGATGCAACACCCGGTATACTTAGAGGATGTTACAATGTGCATAGTGTTTGTTCTTCTAGATCGACATCTGAAATACAAATTTTCAATTTTACTAGAAGCAAAACCAATGAGTTGAAGTGGAAAAACTTGATTTTATGTTCCGATCAAGGTTGTAAAGTAGGATCAACGCATATTTTATGGAAGCATTTTTTTATTTTCACGAAAAACGTTTTTTTCTACTCCCTGTTGTTTTTTCTGTTCCACAATGTTCCGGGATATATAGCGGATTTCTTTGCAGTTAAAATGGGCAAAAAACCTCTGTAAGTATAACCAGTATAACTTTTACTCACGTGATTAAGCTTGACCCGCACAGCGCCCATATAACACAACACAATCCTATAGATATCTTGAGGATATCCACCAAGGATATAGTAAATATCTTAGGGATATCCAAAAACCAGAGGAGGATATTTATGGGATATCCAGATGGGACAAAAAAAGTCATCTTCAAGACATCCCTAGGCAAGCCTTTTACGATTATTTGGGATATTTATAGGATAACATCTGTTGGGATGTTGGGAGCATTATAGAATATTTTTAGGACATTATATGAGGACTGTTATTTGACAATACTTACTTCATCCTTAGTTTATAGTAAGAACGTTCGCGATTTAGTTTTATTTAGCCACATTTTGACGTTATTCATTGGATATTTTTATTAACAGCTCTAAAATATACCTACATATTATGTCAATGAATTTTGCGTCAAAATTTAGAAGTTTAATTGTATGAGTTAAGAGCTTTCAATTTATACTGTACCATCGAAAAAAACGGCGTTCAATTGGCTTGAAAATTACGATCGATAACATTCCCCATATAATTTTACATACAAAATAACAGCAATCTTCATTTCCAAGCCACCTCTGACGCCGTTTTTTTCGATCGTGTGGTATTATACCAGATTATACTACCCTTTATGGAGTCTAGCAGCAACAGTTTACATCAAAGTTAGCACACAGGATACACCTGGATATACGTATAATTTCTAACACCACACATTCCAGAAACTCACAATTTAAACACAAAAATAGGATTTCTGTTTGAATACATCAAACACGAAAATGGGTTTAGGGATAAAGAACAAGCGCTTTTCAACAAATTTTCACCTATAATTTTGTCACAAATTTTTCATTGTGAGACCCTGAGTCGTTCGTCGTTTTTCGACATTAGTTGAGGTTAGGATAGAATTTCTGCTAGAACAAAGCTAGAACCACAGAATATCTAGCTACGCAACAGAAAAATACTCGAAATGAAAGAGCTAAAATTGCACAAATAGAATACTAGATGGCGCGACAATATCATAATCAGAATATAATTAGAAATTTTGAACTTTCGGTTTTGGATCGACGGCTCGTCGACGGCCTTGTAGCTCGGCTAAATATGCACAGTTGCCAGATTCAAAAAGACTTGAATTGGCATCCCAGATAGATAGATATAGTATACCAAGTATAAGCCCAATCGAACGCCATGTATCGTAATATGGTACTATATTATGGTATCACTTGATATGCTTCATGGTACCATAATATTGTAATGTCATGAAAAATAGTATATATCAAATACCGTATGATACCGAAAAAAACGGCGTCCAGTTGGCTGGAAAAGGACGATCGATGACTTTTCCCATGTAAATTTACATATAAAATGACAGCGATATTCATTTCATAGCCATCGCTAACGCCGTTTTTTCCCGATTATACGATATGAACTTGGTATGAACACAATCGAACGTCAGGAAGTGGTCTCTTAATAGTAGAACAATACTTATTATATTGTCGCCGAATTACAATGAAAATTCAGGATTCAATTATACAATCAAACGTCAGGAAGTGATTGTAATTTAGCTCATAAGATTTAATTCCAACTAACATGGCAAACTGAAAAAATCAGCTCTGATCTATTTTAATATGTTTAAATGATGTAGCAAATTTGAAGGTAGGCTTTATCAGGAAGTATTACGATATAAATTACACAATGGCAACACTGCACAAAATTCTTTTAAATTTTGTTTGTAGAAAACTGTTTTCTTTTAAATTTATTGCCCTCTATTATGTAGTAGCGAAACTACCACATCAAAATATCTGATTTGGAGACAGGCTTTAAAAGCCTGTCTCCTTTTGCTACCTACAATTTTATACATGTAACGAGGCTTCTGTTGCGTAGCTAGATATTCTGTGCTAGAACCATAGAATAACTAAGCTAGAACTATGAGTATAAGAAAAAACTAAGTCAAACTCAACCAGTTTTGTTAGTTTCAGTCATTTTTAAGCCCATTCAATATCGACAAACGACCGAATTTATCTCGAATTTCACTAAATCAAAGAACTTAATAATTGTTAATAATACACGATGTAAAAACAAACAACTGTCGAGATGGATTGTGGGAAATTTTTTGCGCGGGCCTTTTAAATTCTCTGTATTACTGGGAGTGGCCAAGCTCATAAATATCCAGATTATCCAGAAGATACCAACAGGATATTTTGTTGCCTTGACGTAATATATATCTGTATAGTTTATTGCATTTTATGTGATATAAAAAGTAGTACATTATTTATTTTTCCTAAATATCTAGACGATATTGTTAGGATATTTTATTATCATGAGCATGTTTGGATATCTCAGCTGGATGTACATTAGATATACGACAGATATATCCATAGTATATTCTATTCTGAGACATCTACGGGAGTTCAGGATGTCTGGAGGATATCCTATAGATGTCTTTATAAGATGATCTTATAATGGGACATTCCGACATTCTATGAATATCCTGCGGATATTGTGTTATATGGGCGTTGCCCATGTTTACATATTTTCTTTTAATCAAAATCTTTTAGGAAACTAAAATAACTAAAATAACTATAAATAGATAAACAGTTATAACTTATATCAACAAAACTCACCTTCTTAACAGCTTAATTAAAGGGTCATTACTACCGCTTTCCCGTTCAAAATATTCTAATAAAGTTTCTATGAGTTTTTTTACGGCTATTAAGCTATCTTGTACCACTTCGCACTAAAAGAGGTTCTAAAAAGAACAATGTTCGACTGCATACTGTCACACATTTTTTTACAGCCTAAGTTAATAATTTCTCTACATTTACAGACTAGGCAAGGCTTACGAAAAAATAGCAAAATTCTCGAGCGTTTTAGCCTATTTCACACTGCGCGAATGGACGTTTGACTACAGCAACACTGTATCGCTATGGGAATCACTGAATGAGACTGACAAAAAGAATTTTGCTTTTGACATGTCGAGTATAAACTGGGTAGATTACTTTGACACATACCTAGTGGCCATGAGGGAATTTCTCATAATGGATCCGTTGGATAGTTTGAAGGAAGGCAGGATTTTTATGAGACGGTAAGGAATCTCACATCAGATCATACAGTATGAACAAAAAAAATGACAAAACTATATATTTAGCTGAAAAAAAAACACTGTTTCTCGTACTTTCAGTAACACTGAATCAGTCATCGGGCTGCTTTAGTGGGTAAAAACCTGTCTTAAGGCTTTTACTTTCCTTTTTGATCATACTGTATAATATATAATTACAATTACCTTTTAAATTCATTATTATTATTATTAATTTAGTTCATTAAGTTAATAATTTTCTCCGTTTTTTTCCAGGGCCACTATATTTCACTATGTCTTCGTGTCGATAGTTACAGGGCTGTCAATTTATTTCTGCTTAAAAAGTATATTTTGTTTCATTCCTCTAGGAATAATTTTTTGTATAATTTATTATAATTACTCTTTATATACGTCTTCAACTCTGTATATAAAAAATAAACTTAGTAAAAAATAGTTAAAATTGATTTTTTTTATTAAATATACATTGCGGTATCGATGTTTAAGAATTCGATGTATCGAAGTTATGGTGTATCGATGTTCCCATCCCTAGCTGCTACAGATACTAAACAAAGAGTCATTTTCGGTGGAAGAATGACTTCTTCCACAGAAAATATACTCCCTGTCTAAAAGTTACTAAACTTCTGTCTAAAAACTTCTCTAGAAAATATATAATCAATGACTAAAGAATATAAGGACATGTAACGCCCATATACAGGCTGCAGCAGAATTTGTGACCTTAGAGGCAATTCTTTTGATGGCAAACAATGAGTCATCATTTGGTCACCAGCGACAATTTTAGCGATTTTTAATAGTTTGTGTGCAGTAAACTTTGTATAAACATTATTACAATGGTGATTAGTTGTTCAGCTTTCAAGTGTAAAAGCAGCAGCGATAAGAAAGAGCCAAGAGCCACGTTTAGTTACGTTTCGTGCAGATCTTTGAATAAGAAGACTAAGGAAGGAGCATAATGCTATCCATGTATTCACGCATGGTGGGCGGAAAAGCCACCATAAAAGCTCTCTAGGGTGGGGATCCTTGACAGTTCTGTTTGACGATTCATTTGACACATTTGAATTTGATTTGAAATTTTGTGGACTTGTCAGTCTTTACGGAGCTTATTTTATGTTATTTATTATTCTACTACTGATAGTTGTATAAAGGTAGTAAATCTAGATGGAAATTGTGGCAGAACTTAAATTAACAGTAACACTATCGCGATTTATCGAAAAAGACTCTAAAATAGTTGGTTGTGTAGCGTGCGGTAGATCTCGGAAAAAATTGAGTGAAATAATGGAACAACTTTTCGCTAGTAAGTGACTATATAATATACATACGTGTAGTAAACCGATCATTTATGAAATTCACTTAAATTAACTAAATTATAGATTTTTCTTCCATTTTAGCTTTTATTTATTACTTGTCAAAGATTAGATGTCAAAGAATTTAGATACGTTAATTTGACTTACCTGCTTCAGTAGCGTATCGGATGTTTGTGGTAATAAATACTTATTATAACTTTATAATAATAATTTTAAATACGTAGAATTATATATTTTTATAACAATTTTAATAACTACCAACATTTATTCACAACGTAAAATAAAACAACAAATTATTGAGTCTACCCCACGTCTACCCTACATCATAGTTTTACATTTTTTAAATAAAATTAGAACGACACTGATAAACCGGAATTTAAGTCGGCCATATTTGAGGCCCATCGCGGTGTACCTAAGATTTTTGATATGCTCCTTCATTAGTCTTCTTATTCAAAGGTACAGATCGTTATACAGAGCGAGTTAAACATAAACATCAGTGGTAAAACATATCTTTTCGCGGACGACACTAACTTCACTTGGAGCAACAAGGACGTCACGGTACTTCATAGGATTATATCAAATGACTTAATCACCATTAAATCTTGGTGCGATTCGAACCTCCTGAGTCTCAACAAAATTTCTAAAACTAAAGCTTTGTCGTATAAAAACTCGCTGCTGCCTTTTGTACTTAACAACACCACCATTGACGTCGTAAAATCTGTAAAATTCTTAGGGCTTGTTGTAGACAATTCACTAAAATGGGACATGCATATCGACGCTTTGTCGAAAAAATTAAGCTCTGCCTGTTTTGCATTAAGATCTGTTTCTAAGGAGCTTAACTTGTCAATTGCTAGAACTTTTTATTATGCACATTTTGAGTCGCACCTCAGATATGCCCTTCCATTCTGGGGTACGTGTTGTGCGACTCAATTTAACCGCATTTTCAAGCTCCAGAAGAGAGCTGTTCGTTATTCACTGGGACTAAACAGCAGAACTCATTGCCAGGACTTTTTTAAAAAAATAAAAATATTAACTCTTCCTTCCTTATTTAGATTTGGATCCGTTTGCCTAATACGTAAGCATGAATCTGCTTCTCAAGAAAGGCCATCTCACACTTATCCACTCAGGAACGCGGAGCAAGATCTTTATCTACCTACCCCACGCTCAGAGTTAGTTAAAAGTTCAATATTACAACTCGAAAAAAATGCACAATCACCTGCCATTTGAAATCAAATCCATAACATCATTTTCTTCATTTCGCAGAGCATTGAAATCTTATTTACTACACAAGGCTTTCTACGCCGTAAATGACATATTTTGATAATCGAATTTGATCTTGTAAACACTGGTCTAATGTTTGCCATTAGGTACTATATTTAGTATAAACATACTAAATATTTTTGAATCTTATTTTTATTTTTTTATTCTGTGACATGTATAGTCTTCAAAACGGGAAATAAAGAACTCAAATTGTATCTATATTAACCTTAAAAAGTTTGTTTACATTACAATAACAATAATAACGTATAAAAAAACGAACAATAACACATAAATTATTTAGGCAGGAGCCGTACAAGTTAGCTGATGTCTCCACAGCTGAGATGCAGGCACCATGTTGGCACAAAATTCACAAGGCAATTCTTCGTCGTCCGGACTGTCAGATCGTGGGGGCGGGGCCACGAAATAATCGTCCTCGTCGGCAATGGCAACAGCGCTCCTACAGAAAACAAAATTTACAAATAAATCATACCATTAGCGGAAATATCAGAACGTTTCAAACGAATAAACACAAGTAAATAACATTTAACTTTGGTATTAACCAACACACGTTTAAAACGTCACTATTATTTGACATTTGCAAAATTAAGACGCTACTTCAGAGAAAAACAAGTGGGGAGAACGACATATACTGGGTGGTCCGAACTGTATTCCGGAAAGTTCGGCAGCATATTCTGCAGATAAAAGTAAGTAAAAAAGTTCGTATAAATTATGTCCTAAAACGCTTAGTTTCGCAGATACAGGGTATAAAAGTTTCATTTTTATTTCGATTTTTTCCAAATAATTTCTAAAGTAAAGTCAATAGTTGGATGAAAATTGGTGTCTAGGTGTTTTTTGACATGAGAAATTTGATTTTGATGTCAATATGACTCCTACTTGTAGAGGGCGCCACCTACATATTTGTAAAGTGGTTTGAAGAATAATAATTTTTCGTCCGTACCTGTATAAAACTACTGAGTAAAAAATATACATTTACGACGTTTTCTACGTAAAAAAGGTCCCTTGGTAAAATTCGCTACGAGCAACCGTTCCCAAGATATTTAGAATGGAAATGGTCAATACATGTCATTATTGACAAAAATTAAACATGTTGAATGGATAGTTATTTGACTGAAATGATAAATTTGGGAACTTTTTTTTTAACTAATCGTAAATTTTTCTTCGAAAAAATGATGATAAAACAGTTTGTGTTGAACTTTTCCGACAAAAACATTTCAAATTTCTGATTTCAGTCTAATAACTATTTAATCAACATGTTTAATGATGTTAATAATGACAGGTATTGATGACAGGTATTGATAATTTTGATTACAAATATCTCGATATAATAACTGTTAATGATGACAGGTATTGATAATTTTGATTCCAAATATCTCGAAAACCATTACTGGTAGCGATTTTTACCAAGAGACCTTTTTTACGTAAAAAACGTCGTAAATGTATATTTATACTGGTAGTAGTTTTATACAAGTACGGACGAAAAATTATTACTGTTCAAACAAGTTAAAAGATATGTAGGTGGCGCCCTCTACAAGTAGGAGTCATATTGACATCAAAATCAAATTTCTCATGTCAAAAAACTCCCAGACACGAATTTTCATCCAAATATTGACGTTACTTCAAAAATTAATGGGAAAAAATGAAATTTGTACACCCTGTATCTCCAAAAATATGCATTTTAGGACTTTTTATCAGCAGAACATGATGTGGAAGTTTCCGGAATACAGTTCGGACCACCCTGTATAGCCAAGAATGCAAATGTGTTCATTGTGAAGTCAATTTTAAGTTTGTGCAATTATACTTCTATTTTTCTTTACGTTGAACTTTCTAAATACTCGTAAAAATGACTAGAAAGTGTTTGGTGTGTGGAAGTTCTAATATAAAGGTCCCCGAATTATCTTTTCATAAGCAAGTAAAGTATTCAGTTGTTCTTTTATTTATATTAAACCACACGGCATACTTCTTTCTCGTTAGATTTCCTAATATTGATATTCGTAGGGAGTGGCTAAATGTATTTTTTTATATAATTTAATTTTTGTGGCAGTATATATTCAATTTATTGTTCAAATATATGCATTTTACAAATTAAATTTTTAAAATTAATGTTCAAATTTGGCGCGTGGACGATAGGCCCTCGACAAGGATAGATAGAATAGAAGCACCGCGTGTGCAACAAAAAAAAAAAGATAAATGGAAGTCGTTGATATGTTTGCGACAATTTCCATAGTGATTTACTTATCCACGTAAGTATATATGATCTAGGGTCCTAAAACACTCACAGAAATTTCTGAGAGCTTACCACCGAGAGAAATCAAAGATTTTTCTTATTTATTTATTTTTTTTTTAATTTAACTGATACTGACCTGTTCCTTCGAGGGTTGTACCTAGCCAAGTCTGGTCTACAACCGCTCTGGTGCTGAATAAGGTCTTCGTGCGGAATGGGTGTGTCACAGAACTCGCAAGGGATTACCAGTTCTGTGGGAGGGTTCCGGCGTCTGCTTGCTGGAGGTTGAGGAGCTGGACCTTCAGGTACATAAAAATTCGCTCTAGTCACTTTAACAACAAGCACAAAGATTAGAATTATTTGACGTAAATTTATAACAATCATTCAACAAGCATTCTTTCATGTTAAATCAAATATTCAAATAAATTTCACTAGAAATGACGATATAAGTTAAATCTGTACCTTCAATAAGACAGTGTTTTGTGAATAAGCCACTGACAAGCTGATTTCTTTTTGCATTCGAGCAGCAGTGGGGTTTTATACAGGGTGTCCCAGAAATAAGTGCAAGTATTTTAACTGGTAGTATAGTTCAACCCCAGAAACACGTCTATGAGTTTTTTTTCTATATTATATATTTTCTATATATTATATACAGGGTGTTTCAAAACAAATACGAAAAACTTCAGGGGGCGATTCCTTGTTTAAAATAAAGGATAGTTTGCTTCATAAACGTTGGGTCAAAAGTCAACCATTAGGGAGATATCGCGGTACAAAGATGGCGGAAAAATAATGTTTTTATTTTTTATCTTGAAAACGAAAGATAGACTAATGAAATTTTATGGGAGCATTACTGTTATGAAAACACACTTTCTGGTAATTTTTCACTTTTTAAAATGAGTAGAAGGGGTTGAAATAAACTACCTCTATCATTCCTGTTAACGAAATTTAAAGAAAAAATCTTATCAAACACATGCAAAAAAAATTAATTTGTAGCTTGGTTTTGTTTAGAAACTTTTTATCTCTTGTGTTTCTTTGATAAAACTGCCGATTTGAAATTAAAAATAAAATGTAAAGCATTACATGTCAGGATAAAAAACATTTTTAGATAAAGAATCTAGTGATAATAACGATAATAATAAGAATCTAGATAATAACGTATTGCAGTAGAGTAATGTCAATAAAATAATATTAGAAACATCCCCTAAAAAGTGACAGCGACCGACTAGACTTTATCCTAAAAAAATTAGAGCAGCCCACTAAATTCTCTATCTAAAAATGTTTTTTATCCTGACATGTAATGCTTTACATTTTATTTTTTAATTTCAAATCGGTGGGTTTTATCAAAAAAACATAAGAAATAAAAAAGTTTCTAAACAAACTAAACTATCCAAATTAATTTTTATTAATTTCTTTGCATGTGTTTGATAAGTTTTTTTTTTAAATTCCGTTAACAACAATGATAGGGGTAGTTTATTTCAACCCCTTGAACTCATTTTAAAAAAGTGAAAAAATTACCAGGAAGTGTGTTTTCATAACAGTAATGCTTCCATAAAATTTCATTAATCTATCGTTTTTCGTTTTCAAGGTAAAAAATAAAAACATTATTTTTCCGCCATCTTTGTACCGCGATATCTCCCTAATGGTTGACTTTTGACCCAACGTTTATAAAGCAAACTACCCTTTATTTTGAACAAGGAATCACCCCCTGAAGTTTTTCGCATTTGTTTTGAAACACCCTGTATATTTCTCTATATTTTTCGCGAAAAAAAAAATTTCGAAAATTTTTTTGGAATTTTTTTTAATTTTTAGTTAAAAAAAACGTTATTTCTTGATAATATGATAACATAGGTATTAGATTAAATTTACAAGAAAGAAAATCTAGAAAAGATCCCGTGGTTCTCAAAATTTTAGGAAAAAATATTTTTTTTGGAAATTTTTCTTTTTTACAAACATTTTTAAAAAAAAATCTTTTTTTTTACAAAATTTGCATCTTAATCGTCAGTAATAAAAAAACAAAGAAAAAAATATGAAAATATAACCGGCGATAAATTTTACGTGTTGGAACAGAGCCAGACGAAAAACGTAAAACTTTTTGGCAGTCCAAATCACGTGTAAATAAATATAAAACTATCCTAATGATGTTCTAAATATTTCAACTATTTTATAGAGCAAATAATCAAGCAGATGTTTGAAATGTGTCTTTATACGGGCCTATAATATATAGTCTATTTCATGGAAGATGACGATTTTCAAGGCCAATTTGATGCTACAATAAAAATAACAGCTATAAATTAAATATAACAATGTGTTAAGACAAAGAAACTTTCAGTTTTCATCAAAAAAAATAATGGAAATACCAGCCCTAAACCCAAAGGGTGTTATTACCCAACATTTTGTACAGTATTTAGTACATTTTGATATGAAAAATATCGTCATCTTTAGTGAAAAGGACTGTACATTTAATGAAGATTAATGACTATGTTTATACGTATTTTGTTAGTAAAATCACAGCAAAATAACCAAAAATTCATTGTTAATTCGCTAAAAATAAATAATAAGGATGCAATAACAAAGCACACCAATAAATAACCTTTGTTATGATTGAAATGGTTCCTAGGAGCGGTACCGCTGCTTCTCAATGGAATTGTTATACTGGCTGAATCATGAAGGAGATTTCTAATGTATTCTGTTTTGCCTAAGACAAAGATAGTGGATGTGAAGCGAATATTTTTTGTATCTATTAGTAAAGTGTAACAAAATGAATGCACGTTTATGATATTATAAGTTTTTAAAAAACAGTATGAGGCTATTCTGTGTAATGAAATGCCAATTTTGTCCCTATTCGTTTAATAATCCTCAATGAAACATTCACATTCAAACTTTTTTATATAATATAACAGTATGATTAATATAACAGTTGAGATTAATTAAAGATTAATTATAATAACAGTTCAGCGCAGAGTGAACAAATAACAGGCTATTTTAGAACTGTTATTTATAAAAGAACAGCTCACAACAGTTGTTACTCCCTGGAAATAACAGTTGGTCAAGACAAGCACTGCTCGTGACTGTTATTTATAAAATAACAGTTCACCGTAATTATTTCGTCCAAAAAATAACAGGTATGGAAATAAAAGTTAGTCACAAAAGAAACAGTTCGCGATTTATTCGTCCAAAGTCAACTTAAAAACTATATAAATATTAATTAATGATCCAAGGTTTTAGAACTGTTATTTATAAAATAAGAGTTCACCACAACAGCTGGTACGTCCAAAAAATAACAGGTATAGAAATAATATCCCACAGAAAGAATGATACAATCAGGAAATGAACCATATATTATTTTACAACTGATATTTAGAAAATAACAGTTCATCCCCATAACAGTTGTTACTTTCAAAAAATAACAGGTATTGAAATAATATCCTGTAGAAAGAAAGATACTATTAAAATAATAACAGTTGGCCACGACAGGCACCGCTCGCGATCTGTTATTTATAAAATAACAGTTCACCATAATTATTTCGTCCAAAAAATAACAGGTATGGAAATAAAAGTTAGTCACAAAAGAAAAAGTTCGCGATTTATTCGTCCAAAATCAATTTAAAAACTATATAAATATTAATTAATGATCCAAGGTTTTAGAACTGTTATTTAGAAAATAAGAGTTCACCACAACAACTGTTACGTCCAAAAAATAACAGGTATAGAAATAATATCCCACAGAAAGAATGATACAATCAGGAAATGAACCATATATTATTTTACAACTGATATTTAGAAAATAACAGTTCACCCCATAACAGTTGTTACTTTCAAAAAAATAACAGGTATTGAAATAATATCCTGTAGAAAGAAAGATACTATTAAAATAATAACAGTTGGCCACGACAGGCACCGCTCGCGATCTGTTATTTATAAAATAACAGTTCACCGGACGAAATAACTACAGTTGTTAGTCCAGAAAATAACAGGTATAGAAATAATATCCTGCAGAAAGAAAGATACTATCAGGAAGTGAACCATATAATATTTTACAACTGTTATTTAGAAAATAACAGTTCACCATAACAGTTGTTACTTCCAAAAAATAACAGGTATTGAAATAATATCCTGCAGAAAGAAAGATACTATTAGAAAATCGATATATTAGATACTTACAGTCCAATCTCCTAGATATCTCCTTGTAACTTTCGCCCTCTTTTTTCTTGAGCCCACCACCTGGTTGGTACGCCGCTGGCAAATACGGGGTAGGATCGAAATCAAAGTCGGTAAACCTAAAGCGTCTACGAGACTGTGAAGTTTCGATGTTAGAGGCAGACGCGCTGCGTTGAGTGGTTGACTCCCAGGAAGGTTGAGGTCCTGGTTCTAAAGTCAAAAAGACATGTTGCCTAGTTTCGAATCTTATACGAAATCTTGGAGAAAAAAAGGGAAATAAGTTCATGATGGTGGGATATCTCGAAAACAAAACATCAAATTTAAATATATTTACACCATCTATCACCTTATAGAGAAAAAATATTTACAACTATAAACACGAATTAAAACGGCATATTTTAAACTTCTTTTAGGCCACCCTGTACTACACTTCTAATAGCAGGAAAACAATGTTTCGCGTATTATTATTACGCTTAAACAAAATAACAAAATCAACTGATTTCGAACGACCACAGATGGTTTAAATATAGATATCTAGCGATATAAATATAGATACTTAACTCTCTTTCGTGAAATCTAAATCGTAAATAGTTCGAAAAATATTTGAAATAATTGAAACATATACAGTACAGTTCAATTCTAAAAATTATATTTTGAAAAAGATGCGCCTACTTGACAAGGTCGAATTTTTTTATTTATTTTTTTTATTTTCAAAACCTATTCTTAGTTGACCTAGTCAAATATATAAAATCTAAGTGAAGGCTAACCTTTACGTGGAACCGTTAAATCCACAAGGTTTTCTTACTTACCTTTGCCAGAATGAGGTAAAAATAAGTAGATCTAATAAAAAAAAATCAGCCTAGATGTTTTGGTTTTAGAGTTAAAAAAAGGACTTTTTAAACCCTTGATTTCAAGGCTCCCAGAAATATAGTAAATACCATTGTAAAATTATGAAAAATTCAGTATTTGTAGGAAATTTTATGTAGATTTAGAATATATAATGATTTATTAGCTTGAGTGTTTAGGTTTTGTAAGAAACTGGATTTCCCAAACACTTGTTTTTGAACAATTTTTCATTGTAGCTAAAATGTTACTTAGAGGTCGTACTGAACTCGTGTGACCAAAATGGCCTAAATTTTCGTGTTCTACGCTTCTTAATTAGTAAATACAATGAATATGAACGATAAAAGATCGTTGAAGAAAATTTATAACGAAATAAAATGAAAAAATACATAACTCTAACAAAAAATATATCATATTTACCATCTTTTAGCTTGACAAATCCATGGTTGGAATCAAGATGCACTTGCTTATTCTTAAACATAACTAATTCCCCACATTCTAGACACTTGTCAGTTCTACTGCCACAGTAATTCTCATGCTCTTCTAAATCTAGCTTAGGCAGTTCCAAATCACAATAACGACAAGGTAAAAGCCCTAAAAATAAGTAACAATCATTTTCTGAAGTAGATACCTACACAGTGAAACTTGAACTCTTTTATGAACCCTCTGTAATTCGAATTCCATTAATTGAGATTCAAGTTAAAAAAGTTCAATTATAGTTTAATTTTTTTCGACCATTTTAGTACCTTGTGGTCCTTTTGGTCTTGGTCCAGAAGTACTATCGTCATTGCGTCGAGGTATTAATGGAGGTTTTGATTCTTTTTTAATAGCCCCGCCATTAGATTGACTGTTAGTACCACCAGAACTCACTGCAGGGCTGGATTGTTGTTTTAAAATCTGAGCACTTCTGGTGTTACTCAAGGCACCAGAATTTCCATATCCATTAACCGATTCTCTTAAAGTAAAACCCGTATCAACTAAATGGTCATGCCTTTTTAGATAATTCTCCTTTCTAACGGCAGCTTTCTTATCTTCAATTTCCTAGTTATCAGTAAAAATTTAACAATAACATATTTGCAGAAAGATCAAAAATAGATGGAGTGCACGTCATTTTTTTTAAACCTACATTATTACTTTGTCTATAATTATTACACAAACAAACTCTAATTAGATGAACTTATTCGCAAGTTTTTTGAAATGGAAGATGAAAAATATAAGTTCTAAATAATTAACGTTAGTCTTCACTCTTTGTGAGATTCTACTCACAGCAAAGTTGCAAGCTCACAGAAAACTTAAGTCGTTTTTAGGGTTCCGTACCAAAAGGCTAAAAACGGGAACCCTATTACTAAGACTTCGCTGTCCGTCCGTCCGTCTGTCACAAAGTTTCATGAGATATACAGGGTGACGCACCTCATTCGCCTCGGTTAATTATACGAAAACGGAAAGATGTAGAAACAAAATATTTTATGGGTATATGTAGAGAGGCAATGTGCACAATTTAAAATTATTTTGAAATATACAGGGTGTTTCAGAACTAAGATCCATACCAAAGTTATATTTTTTCTTATGGAACACCCGATATTTTATTTCATTTTTGGATTCTTGGGTCCCAAAAAAGGCATTTATTATAAGGGTTAAATATGTTTAAACTCTTTAGTTTTTGAGATATTTAAAGATATTTAAATTTGCATGCTACAATAAAATAGACTATTATAGTCTGTAAAACGAATAACTTTGAATTTGACAGTTCCCGCGGGCTTTTCTAGTGTTAATTTTATTAGGTTAGCAACTTGCGGCCATGCTGACGCAATGCCGTCTCTAATAGAACAGCCACAGAGCGAGATTTATGACGTCACGCTAGTTAGATACTACGGATTAATAAATATGTTGTAGAATACATGGAAAACATAATTATTCCTCGTATTTTTGGTTTGTATTTTAAAAATGGTATAGTTTACATGAAATATAGATAATATACAGTTAATAAATACAATATATATATACCTATTTATAGTAATAAATACTTTGGCAGATAAACTATGATCCATACAAATGCAGCAAATGTTTTATAATATGACTGAAATCGTACTCCATAGTCAATGTAGATAGTTTTTGTGTTAAGAATAAGAATTTAAAAAAAATATGTGGTCATCTTTTGACAAGTTAATATTAGTTTATTAATTGCAGTAAACATTATAATATATAAATAATTTTTATATTATTATTATTTTTATTTATAATCACTTTTAGTAGATATTGAATGTTTTTTGTTAAATTAGATCGATTTTCAAACCCCAAAATTTAAAATATATTTTACATTTTACCCATTATCTTATGTACCACCTATTCATTATTTGTATATTGTAAAACATTTGCTGCATTTGTATGGTTCATAGTTTATTTGCCAAAGTATTTATTACTATAAATAGGTATATATTATATTGTATTTATTAACTTATATTATGTATATTTCATGTAAACTATATCATTTTTAAAACACAAACCAAAAATACGAGGAATAGTTATGTTTTCCATGTATTCTACAACATATTTATTAATCCGTAGTATCTAACTAGCGTGACGTCATAAATCTCGCTCCGTGGCTGTTCTATTAGAGACGGCATTGGTCTAATATTTAGAAATGTCAAAAGCTGATGACATTTTACTTTTGTCAATTATGACATTTCGTGTTGATTTTTGCAAGAAGAGGAAGAACTGTCGCTTGTTTTATTATTTTCCTTTTCTATTTCACGAAAGTAAAAAGAGTTACCTATCTGATTCATTCAGGCACTCAATTTAAAGAATATCATTAACTTTTTTGATAGAGGGATTTTATATTTGCCATGTTGGTAAAAAATAACGGTCAAAATTCAAAGTTATTCATTTTAGAGACTATAACACCCTGTACATTACTTTTCAGAATTAATTCTTATGCTGAGTTTAAAGGTAGAGAAATAAACTTTACTGAAAAATGGTATTGGTTCCTTAAATTTATACAGGGCTATCAAAAGTCGATGATCGATTTTAAGGATATATTTTATATAAAAACTTTTAAATGGTCTTTCAGACTATATTGTTTCCTATACCTATCTAGCTCAGATTTTGAATAAAAAGCCATTTTTAAATAAAATTGCAATCAAAATGGCTGGTGTCGCCATCGCAATTTTCTAGTCACGGTTAGTAACTATTTTCAAAGTCGACATTAGTTTATGGACATTATTATTTATAATTTATAACAGTTTACTTAAATTTACCTACAATAGTTTAATAAGTAAGTATTCATTATTTTATCAAGAAAAATAAAGCAATATCTGCTGGCGGAACGAATAGATATGTTACTAGTGATATTATTTTGTGAGGAAAATTGCTTCTTGGCCTCAAGGGCTTATGCTCAAAGATATCCAAATAGGAATCTTCCTGATAAGCGTTTCTTTGAAAAACTTGTCCTATTTTGCAGAGCTGATAGCGTAGTTTATAAAAAAAATATTAGGCGGAAACCTGTTGTTGGAAGTGAATAAAATGAATTTGCCGTAATTGGCTATTTTATAGAAAATCCATATATCTACAGGTCATCGTAAAATAATTCAAAGAACTACTTTTACTAGTAGTGGGAACTATCGAATGAATACTATCGAAACATTCGATAGTTGCAATTCATTCGAATAATTCGATAGTTAGTAAGAAAACATTCGTTGAAAACTATTCGAATAAAAATTATCGAATAGATCCGTCATCTGCCTTGAAATATTGTATTCTAGTAATTCGGCAGCAAAAACCATTCATTTATAAAATTCATTCATTTATGAAATTCATTTATTCGTCAGGATCGATTATAATAAAATATTAACTGAATTTTAGTTGTCGCCCGGCGACGTAGGTTTCTTTTTCGAGAAACCCGACAGCGGTCGGTGGCATTGCTATGAAAGAAGCCGGCATGTTTGATTTTTTGCGGAGTCAGATATAGATAACGGCACATTATTCTTTTTATTGAGGTGCTCGTATTTACACAGAAAATACATTATGAAGGGCGCTGTTGCCATATTTTGGTATTAGTTTATATTAGCAAAGAATATTATTGTTTGGCTTTAGTTAATTAGGGATAGTATGTCTATATATTCTGCATTTTTTTTTATTAATATTCTGTTGTTACACTGCAATAATACTTGTTATTTTGGATGTAGGAGAATGATTTTTAATGTTTTTAAGCAAAGACTGGTTTAATAAATAATAATAACAGTAATAATTTGTTATACCTATTAACAACAAAATTTAAAATCATTTAATATAAACATTTTTTTTAGTAGTAGCAAAATATAAAGAAGAAATTAGATGTCAAAATTATTTATATTAGATCCTATTTAAAAAATAATATAGTCTCTAAATTTTTGTGTGTGGCAACGTTGGTTTATTAAATAATAATAATTACAGAACTAATTTGTTATATTAACAACAAATTTTAAAATCATGAAATATAAACATTTATTAATTTTCTAAGCATGCAGTGTAATGGAAGGAAAATATAAATAAAAATTAGAAATCAAAATTATTTATATTAGGTGCTTTATAATACTATTTAAAAATTATATTCACTTTTACTGGCATTTACTTTAAAAATAAATGAAATATTTCTTCGCAAAAACTACATGTAAGAGAATTAGCTTAAACAAAATACAAACATCGTTAACTTTTTTTTTAAATTGGCACGTATAAAACTTTCAATTTAATTTTCTCACCCCATAGTTTGAGTTCGATAACCCCATTTACTTAACCACATTACTTAAATATGATTATTAAGTTCAACTAATTCATATTATTAAAACATCTAAAATACAAATATGTATTTTTAAAATTAATTGTAAGTTCATCTCATCTCTCTTAAAAATTGCTACTTCTCAAAATTTCCCATTAAAAAATAGACCATATAAAATTAAATAATTGAAAGATCGGGACTACGGAAAATCACCACCATGCAATGCACATGCACTCAATCGTCAATAAATAAAATTAAAAAATAACTACTATTTTAGTATTTTAACTATTTTAATAAACGCAAAAATAGCACAGTATTTATACGGCGAAGTTATAAGAATTTGGAAGAACTAATAATGCACTGACGCATACAAAAATCAAACGAATACTAAATTTCATTTATCAAAAGCATTCGATAGTCGTGGCTCAACGATAACCATTTAGTCGCACGGCGAGGTTGTCACATATGCTTTAGTATACAAATGAATGAATGATTTTATTCGAATAAAACCATTCGATAGTTGAAATCATTCATTCATTAACCATTCGATAGTCTAATTCATTCGATAGTTCCCATCGCTAACTTTTACTACGTTTTTCTTGATAGAATAATATACACATATTTAATACATATTATTTATTAAACTATTGTAGGTAAATTAAATAAAAGTAAACTGCTCAGTAAACTGGTATAAATTTAAATAAAGTCCATAAACTAATTTCGATTTTGAAAATAGCTACTAACTGTCACTAGAAACTTGCCATGACAACACTAGCCATCTTGATTACAATTTTATTGAAAAATCGCTTTTTATTCAAAATCTGAGCCATATAAGTATAGGAAACCCTAATATAATTTGAAAGAGCATTTAATTCTGCTTCGACTATTTTAAAAAAATACATAGTGTTGCATTTGAAATAACGAAGTTTTTATGTAAAATAAATATTTAAAATAGACCAGCAATTTTTGATACCCCTGTATACATTTAAGGAAGGAATAACATTTTTCTCTAAAGTTTATTTGTCTACCTTTAAACCCAGCACAAGAACTAATTCTGAAAAGTAATGTACAGGGTGTTAATAATCTATTCTATTGTAGCATGCAAATTTAAATATCTTTAAATATCTCAAAAACCAAAGATTTTAAACATATGTAACCCTTATAATAAATACCTTTTTTTGGGCCCAAGAATCCAGAAATGAAATAAAATGCCGGGTGTTCCATAAGAAAAAATATAACTTTGGTATGGATCTTAGTTCTGAAACACACTGTACATTTCAAAATAATTTTAAATTGTGCACATTACCTCCCTACATATACCCCGTTTTCGTATAATCAACCGAGGCGAATGAGGTGCACCACCCTGTATATACAGGGTGGTCCAAACTGTATTCCGGAAACTTCGGCAACATATTCTACAGATAAAAATAAGTAAAAAAGTCCGTATAAATGTATGTCCTAAAATGCTTAGTTTTGGAGATACAGGGTGTAGAAGTTTCCTTTTTATTTTGATTTGAATAATTTCCGAAGTAAAGTCAATATTAGGATGAAAATTGGTGGTTGGGATTGTGGGTGGTTAATAGATGCATTATGGAACAAAGAATACCAGAGCTATGGCAAAACGCAACAATCACTTTCATTCACAAAAAGGGTGATAACACCAGACTCGACGATTATCGTCCCATCAGCCTGCTCTCGCACTTCTACAAAATATTCAAAAAGGTGCTGACAAATCGCCTGTCAAACAAATTCGACTTCTATCAACCCCCGGAACAGGCAGGGTTTAGAAGTGGATATAGTACTGTGGATCACCTTCAGGCAGTCCGCACTCTCATAGAGAAAAGCACTGAATACAACTTCCCTATATATGTCGCCTTTGTGGATTATGAGAAGGCTTTCGACTCTATAGAGCTACACGCCATCCTCGATGCCCTACAAAATGCCAGAATAGACTACAGATACTCGGGCATAATATCATCTATTTACAAATCAGCTACAATGACTATCAAACTGCGTTTTTTGACATGAGAAATTTGATTTTGATATCAATATGACTCCTACTAATAGAGGGATCCACCTACATATTTTTTAACTGGTTTGAAGAGTGATAACTTTTCGTCTGTACCTGTATAAAACTACTGAGTAAAAAATTATACATTTACGACGTTTTTTACTTGAAAAAGGTCTCTTGGTAAAAACCGCTACGAGTAATGGTTTTCGAGATATTTGGAAAAGAAATTATCAGTACCTGTCATCATTGACATAAACATATTGACTAAATAGTTATTAGACTCAAATCATAAATTTGAAATGTTTTTATTCCAAATGTTCAACAGAAACTGTTTTATCATTATTTTTTGCAGAAAAATTTATAATTAATTTAAAAAAATAAAAATTTCCCAAATTTATTATTTCAGTGAAATAACTATATCTATTCAACGTGTTTATTTTTCGTCAATAATGACATGCATTTACTATTTCCATTCTAAATATCTTAAGAACGGTTGCTCGTAGCGATTTTTACAAAGAGATATTTTTTACGTAAAAAATCACAGAGATGTATATTTTTTCGCTCGGTAGTTTCATACAGGTACGGACAAAAAAGTTATTACGCTTCAAAAGAGTTAAAATACACGTAGGTGGCGCCCTCTACTAGTAGGAGTCATATTGACATCAAAATTAAATTTCTCATGTCAAAAAACTCCCAACCACCAATTTTCATTCAAATGGCTGTCCTCCTTTCACGCAGTTGAACAGCTCTGAACTGATCAAGAACGCGATACTCTCACTCCATTCAATTGAATCATAAAGCTCCAGAACTGTTCCGCGCCATATGGAGGCACCAGGCTATCGTGCACCGCTCCTTTCAGAACCGTTCTCGAGTAGCCCCAGGGCGTAAAGCCAGGAACTCGAAGTTCGCGAATGAAGGACAGCAAATATTGACGTTATTTCAGAAATTATTTAGAAAAAATCGAAATACAAATGAAATTTCAACACCCTGTATCTCCGAAACGAAGCATTTTACGAGATAACTTTATACGAACTTTTCTACCTATTTTAATCGGTACAATATGCTGCACCCTGTATCTCTGAACACCCTGTATCTCTGAAACTAAGCATTTTAGGACATACATTTATACGAACTTTTTTACTTATTTTTACCTGCAGAATATACTGCCGAAGTTTCCGGAATACAGTTCGGATCACCCTGTATATAGAACAAAATAAGGGGATATAGAATAATATAATACTCATTTTAAGCTGATTTATTTGTATTTCAAAATATTTCAACACAAAATAACTGAAACGTAGAGATTAAGACATTAACTAAAAACAACATAAAAAAATAAAAACCTAAAGGTATGTATAGTGTTAGAATAACTTAATCAGATTTTAAATCTGATTTTTAACTTTCATTGGATTATTTAAATGTTTTTTTAGCTATCTCTAGTATTGATAGTATTAGAGAACGATTGAGCAGTCAATTGAGTTGAAGGAGCTGCTTTCACGAAATTCCAAAGTGTGAAACATTCGAATTTGGTAACAAATCAGGCAATCAGTGCTTTTCAAACAAACGATTGAGCAGTCAAACGAGTTGAAGCAGTTGCTTTCACGAAATTCCAGAGTGTGAAACATTCGAATTTGCTAACAAATCAGGCAATTAGTGCTTTTCAAACGAACCGATTTGCCGGCTATTTGACAAACGAACGTTTAGTGGTGCAATTTCCCCCAAAAGTGGATATAGAACAACCTAACTCTCGGGTGATGTTATAGCAGCTCTGTCAGAAAGTAAGTATTCCTTGATATGTAATTGAAAATTATATTGTATATTATGACAATGCATTGATTGCATCTTTGTTTGATTGTTTTAGTGGTCTTTTCTTCTCTGAATGTGTTTAATAAAAAAAATATGATAGACGTTTTGATTAGCTTGAGGTGTTTGTTTTATAGTGGTCCATATTGGGGTACCTATTCCATATTTAGGTGCCTTTATGTTCAATTTGTCTTTGAGAAAATTTTATACTTTAAATTAATATATGTAACTAAGAATAAAAAATATTTGACTTACAATGCCTTTTTTATATAACACAAAAACTAAACGACGTGCACCCCAACATTTAACTGAATTTCTCTATAATTAAAACTTAAAAAGTGCTTACTTTTTGTTTCTCAAAATAAAAGCTTTTTTCTATGGAAGCTGGGGGTGCAGCAGGTTTTTTTGGTAGCGGTTTCCTGCACTTTTCCCTGTGAGATTCGTACTCGAGCTTAGGTATAGGTTCATTACATACTTTGCATAACGTAATGTTCCTTGAGCAGTGCATTGTGTGCATTACATAGTTGGTTTGAGGAATTTCCTTTTTGCTGGCAAATTAAACAAAAGTATTTAAATTAACTTTTAAAAACAAATCTATATAACCTACCAGTTATTGCAAATCTCGTGCTCCATGATATTCCAGAAAAATAAGAAACTACACAACTAAAACTAAAATAAATTATTAAACTATAAATGGTAAAAAAAGGTCACGATATAGAATTATAGCATCGAAAGTCGCGAACAGACTGGGACTGATATATATGAACAAAAGCATTCACTTTCAGTATTTTTAGCGTAGATCTGTGTGTATGAGTATGAATCTAATTTTAGATTATATTATTATTAGAAAATTAGGTTCAGCGTCCATTTCTTTTCATTTTCTCAAAATTTTCATACGTAAAACTCGATTTCGAAGGTTTAAATCGCCCATATCAACGCTCAATATTTACAAAAAAAAATAAAAAGACCGTTTTTATAGCCTGGGACATCTGTAAAAGTACAACAAATCTACAAAAATATTCTATATCAAAGTAGTACCTTAAAATAAAGATCTATAGATATATTAATAAAAAGAAAATACCGTAGATAACTGTGCTAATTGAATACAATTAACCAGAGAGCAGAGAGCCCTTATAGTTATAAAAAAACACATGAAGGCGTGCCACAAATTGTTTAGGAAGCAAACCAAAAAATGCTTATTCTGTGATTCCCACAAAAGCGAAAATCTCTGCAGAAAAGATCATCTGATTAACGTCATTTTCAGTAACTGTCACCATGATTAAACGATTTTAATAATTTGCCACTAGTAATGTGCAAATCCAAAAAAAATCGATATCCAAAAATAACTACATCAAGAATGTAGTTTTCTGTAAAGTTTATTTGGAGTTTTTGAGCCAGTTTTAAAAAATTATTCTTATTTATCTAGTTTTTTAATAATAATCACGTAGAATAAGTACTTTTACCATCATGTACAGTTTTAGAAAATGTCCTGTAAGAAAATCAGAGAAGAAATAGTACAGTTTTGAAAAAATTACACCAAAAAGCGCCATCTCTTGTGCGAGTTTATATTTGTCAACAATGATGAATATAAATTAGTCTTAAAATAAACAGTTATTTTTTGTATTTTGTAAGGTTTGTAAGTAAAAAAACAAGATTTTCTAAAAATAAACTCATTTTTTATCTTTAGATTGTTCCAATTTTAAATATTCGACTTCGTCTCCAGTAGAAAACCGGTCTTTTAAGAGCTAAAGTACTTTTTATTTTCACGATTTTAATTTGGAATTTTAATCAACTTTAGAAATACATAAACAAGGTAAGCGCGTAATTAGCTGACAGGCTTTAATTGTTGTAATTTGGTGATATTATATTATTTTATTAACAATAATATATGAAAAAAAAACATAATCTCTGATCTTGTCAAAAACCGGTTATCCTAACCTAAGATTTTCCAGAGAGTTGACGTTTAACAATTTTCTTATATAACGTGAATTAATCGTCTGAAAAATCTGTGTTTATTTTGGATTAGAGATTTAGATTTCGACATGCTTTAAATACCGTTTATTTACTACCAATTTGCGTTGCATATTGTTGACAGTAATCTTCGCTTGCAGATATGTTTGGGACACAACTAGGATCATTCCCAGTGAGTATTGTTTTGTTTGGAATAATTAACACTGTTTAAATTACCCCTAAATGTTTATTCAGTTTTATATTTTGCAACATATTCAAGCTGTATCTGTTGAATAACAAACATTATCTGAAATAATATTTATTATTCAATTACTGTATCTGAGGATGTCATGATCAGGTAGTAACAAATGAACAAAGCAGCAAAATGTCAAATTCATTTTCAGTTCGCGTCAAATATCCAGGAGAGCGAAATTCTACATTTTAACGACACTTCCGGCAGTAGTATGGACCAGAATAATGGGGCTGGTGATAGCTATTCAGGAGACATTGATAAAACCAAGCTTATAGTCAATTATATACCGCAGTTCGCCACCGAAGAGGATCTAGTGCAAATATTCGGTCCTATTGGTAATATAGAAAGTATTAAAATTATGAGGGACTATAAGACAGGATATAGCTTCGGATTTGGGTTCGTTAAGTACTACAAGGAAGAGGATGCTACCAAAGCCATTGACGCTCTAAATGGGTTTAATTTCAGGTAACATATTTGTTTAATATAGGTATAAATGTGAGGGTTAATATTATTGTGATTTTTTCTTTGAGTTTCATCAGAATCTAGTGATTTTTTTTGTAAATAAATGCAGCAGAAAAAATAGTGTATTAATTCAATAGTCAAATACAAGATTATGAAACGAAAATATTGCTTTTTGAGGGGGTTATGTGGGGGTTGGTTTTACTGCAATTTTTTTTAATTTCATCATAATTTAATATTTTTCTTTAAATAAATAAGCAGAAAGAAAGTGTTTATTGATTAAATATCCAGACAACATTAAGAACAAAAAATATTACTTTATTTTACTTTTATTATAAAAATAAATGACTCAGAGTATATGGGGGTTGGTATTACTGTAATTTTTTTGAAACTCCTTGAGGGTGCATCCACATTATCCTAGAAAAAGCGGATCGGCGTAACGACCTTGAAACGATTTCCAGTAATCGCTGGAAATCGATTCAAGGTTAACATTAGTTACGCCGATCCGCTTTTTCGAGGATGGTGTGGTTGCATCCTCTGAATTTAATGATTTTTTTTAAATAAATACGCAGAAATAATAATATATTGCTCTTTTTTCAATTTTATAATAGAAATAAACGACTTAAAGTATCCTACTCAAGACCACCGGGAACCGACATGAAAGATTCGAACTTGTACATCACGAATCTGCCTAAAGATGTGACAGAGCAAGACGTCGAAAATTTGTTCAAAGACTATGGCGAAATTATTCAAAAAACAGTGCTGAAGGACAAACACACGGGACTACCCAGAGGAGTCGCTTTTGTCCGGTAATAATATTGAACATTACATATTATATGTAATGCATTACATATAATTTGTAATGCGTTACATATAATATGTAATGCATTATCATTATATGTAGTACATTACATATAACAAGTAATGCATTACATATAACAAGTAATGGATTATGTATAACACGTAATGCATCACATATAATATGTAATACATTACATATAGCAAGTAATATATTACATATAACAAGAAATGCATTACATATAATATGTAATGTATGGTATATAATGTTTCTAAATGTTATGCATTACATATAACAAGAAATACATTACATATAACAAGCAATACATTACATATAACAAGTTATGCATTACATATAATATGTAATGTATGTTATATAATGTTTTTAAAGGTATGCAAGGGGCGAAGAAGCGCAGGCGGCGATCGCCAACCTAGATGGCAAGCTGCTGGACAGCGCGATGTTGCCGCTCAGCGTGCGCGTTGCCGAGGATCACGGTAGGCAAAAGGCTCAGTATCTGGAGGCGTGGAATCCTATGGGCGGTGGTTTTGGAGGTGGAAGGGGTAAGAGAAGGCGGTTCTAGTTTTTTTCATCACCCTATATAAATATAATGGCTGATATAGCCTATTATTTTTTTTTTCTCTTATATTTAATATCTGTTTTAAATATTAATTTAATTTTAATTCTTTTTTTCTGTGCTACAATCAAATTGGTATTGAAAAATTAATGCTGTTTTGAAATATACTGGGCGTTAAAAGTATTCTGTTGGGGGCCTTTGAATAAAAAAAACTAAGAAAGGAGGGCATATTATATCAATGAAACTGGAATGCGTGTAATGTTAAAAGTTTAAGATGGCTTTCTTAAGTTTTTTTATTGAAGGTTGGGGAAAATTGTGATATTTTAATGGCTTACATGGAATAGTTTAAAATTACGTTTTAAAAAATATCTAATTATTGAAATTGTTTTAAATAAAATGTAATATCTAATATATGGAATTGTTATGCTATGTATATATAAACGTAATTTTAAAACATTCCATGTAATTATAAGGAGAAATGAATTGATCTAATTGATTATATTATCTCACAGCATTGCATATTTATGTCTAAATTTACTACAGTTTAATCATAGTTTTATTTTAGCCGAAGGAAGACTATAGTAGTATTTTTTTAGCATGCTATAAGTTTACTTTCTTTATGTACATAATACAATATTTGACGTATAAACATTTTTTTTTTGAAGTTAATATATGGGTATCTTTTTTATTATTATAAATTTTTATTCGTTTTAATATCTTTTAAGAGTGTAACATATGGTATTTATTTTCTTTACTACATAACATACAAGATACTGAGTTGTCTATAAAACTCATACAAACTTGGAATTATTTCTTAAATTTATCTTGAATGCATTACATATTATATGTTAAAAAAAGCATTACATATAACGTGTAACACATTACATATAATATGTGATCCATTACATATACGATGTAATGCATTACATATAATATGCAATGCATTATATATAATATATGCAATGCATTACCTATAATATGCAATGCATTACATATAATATGTAATACGTTAAATATAACAAGTAATGTATTACATATAACAGGTAATGCATTATATATAACAAGCAATGCATTACATATAACGTGTACATTACATATGATATGTAATCCACATAATATGTAATGCATTGCATATAATATGCAATGCATTACGTATAATATATACTACGCATTACCTATAATATGCAATGTATTACATATAATGTGTAATGCATTACATATAACAAGTAATATATTACATATAATAGGTAATTAATTATATATAACAAGCAATGCATTACATATAATGTGATGCATTAAATATTATATGTAATTGGAACACACTTTATAACATTTTATAGCGATTTGTTTTTAAGCAGAGACTCGTTTTGAATCATTTTAAAGTAATTTAAAATCAAATTAAAGAAAGATATTCTCTTGTATGTTATCAGAAAATAAAATAATATACCGTGGATTTTTTTTAAATGTCTGCTATGTAGACGCGATTTGATTATAGATTTTTTTTTAATTTTTAATATTATAGGTGATTTGAAATATTTATTTAATTTTTTTGTCTATAACTACGTAGTTTTAAGGTTTTATTTGATTGCAAAACGTACTAATTGTGAATGTTTTAGGCTATCCGGGCCTCAGAACAAGCATAATGCCTTTCAGAGATTTAACAGTTCCCACTAGACCGATCCTACCTAACCGCTATACCCGTTTCCCCACGTTTTCCAGTCCGAACGTCAGAAATTTGGGCGCAGGCGACACGTTTTTCCAAAACCCGTTTTTTTACTGATGGAACAGGGCCGTTTATTTTTTCAAAAATTTCGAAAAAACGACGGTTTCGGAATTCTTGACGAAATGGCGAAGGAGCGCGCGAAGTTTCGAGAATTTGTTTGTTGTTTTTAATTTATTTTTGTTACCTGGTGCCGATTTATCTCCTTCCGACTTGAAGTTTTAATCGTGTTTGTGTCTAGTTTTTTTTGTATTTGTTGTGTTTAGTTTTTGTTTTTTCTTTGTTTAGTTGGTATAGTTGAACAAAAAATGTGTTTGTGGATGGATAAATCGGCATTTTTTTTGTTCTGTTTTAATTTAAAATTTCGGAAACATATACAGGTTTCTATCTACGACACTGAGATAAATATGGTATTTTTTAGAGTATATTTCTTTGAATACTGTTAGGAGAAAAATTGACATAACCACCCCCCGCCACTAGTGGTCGTTTTAATATCTTAATACCACAGAAGAACAAATACGTATGATCAAGTAGACTGGGAAGTTATAATTATATTTTTTATTAGTGGTTTATTTTTTGGTCAAAAATTATTAGACAGTACTTATAAAACTACGGGAAAAAACGAAAATATCTGAAGCTTTGGGACTGATTTTTGTTAACAAAAATTATTTTACAGGGTGCGCCAAAAAGTGTCAATTTTTTTATCGTTAAAATTACTATATTGAAAAAGGGTTTATTCAAAATTTCTTCAATTTTAAAAAATCAACAAATAATGAAGTCATTTTGACGTATATCAGAATGACTTTTTTCATGTAATAAGGACTTCTGTATTTGCTACAATGACAGAACTGTCATTGTAGGAAATCAGAGAGGTCCTTGTGTTGGATCTTATGCAAAAAATGGGTTAAAGACACAATATCGAAAAATGTCAAAGAGGAAAGTTGTTCAGAATTTTATTCTACGTCTATGTAGCGCGTTTCGTAAATATAGATACAGGGGTTTTCAAAAAATATAATTTTTGTAAGTCCCTGTATATTTCTGCAGAAAATGGGATTAAGACACAAAATATCGTAAAATGTCAAGAGAGAAAAGCTGTTCAAAATTTGATTCTACGTCTGTGTAGCGAGTTTCGTAAATATATATACAGGGATTTTCAAAAAATGTCACTTTTTGAAAGTTCTTGTATATTTATGAAAGTTAATAGTTAAAACACAAAATATCGAAAAATATCATAGAGAAAAGTTATTCCGAATGTGATTCTACGACTATGTAGCGAGTTTCATAAATATACAAGGTTTTTCAAAAAATAAAGTTTTTTTGTAAGACCCTGTATATTTATGAAATTTCGTACACAGATGTAAAATAAGATTCTGAACAACTTTTCTTACGGACTTTTCTCGATATATTGTCACCTAACCTTACTTTTTCCACATATTATGTGATAAAAATATTTGAATCAATCACCATGACATCTATTTTTAGCACACCCTGTAGAATTATAATAAATCTAGACCAGAAATAAAGTAATATAATTATAACTTCCTTAATACTTGATTTTATGTATTTATTTTCGATCGTGCAATGTATCTACAGGGTGGCTCAACGGATCTAGTTGGAACTCTAAAAAAAAGACGCTGTAAAAAACCGTGTGGAATGCAAAAATTTTTGTCAATTTTTTTCTCTCACACACGCTCATAATAATAGCTTAATCATAGTATTGTTGTATAGTTTTATTTTTTTACTAAATGTAAGAACAGAGAGCAGAAACATATAAGTTAATATAATAATTGTAAAAAGGCGGTTTTAGAGTTTTTTTTGTTTATGTGAATAAATAAAGAGAAGTTGTGTTTTGATCAAAATATAATTTATTTGAAAACTTAACTGTACACTTTTTTTACATCGTAGGTCTCTAATTTACTTTAAGAAATAATATACACCTAAAAAAATCTTTTTTAACTCCTTCTTCTTCGGTCTTTCGACCTTTCTTCGTCCCGGTACTTCGATTTTTTGTACTTCTCGTCCCTCGAAGAGTACTTTTCTTCCCTATCCCTGTATTTGTCATCTCTGTCCCTGTGTTTCTCGTCTCTATCGTATTTTTTGCTGTCCTTTTTGTCTTCATATTTATCGTATCTATCCCGATCCCTGTCTTCTTTGTACTTGCTGTCCCTGTCGTGATCTTTGTATTTGGCATCTTTGTCATACTTGTCATACCTGTCAATGTAGCGATCGTTCTTCGTCTCGCGATCGTTACTAACAGATCTCGACTTTTTTCTGTCCCTGTATACAAGAAAAAATTGAATGACACTGCATAATAGACAGCCTGGTAAGTAGTTATAAAAATAAAATAAAAAAATCAATTTGTGTAGCGAACTTTTCGTATACAAGGTGCGTCAAAAAACATCGGATCTTTACTAACCAATCTACACTTCTTTCTATCCCTGTATATAAGAAAAAAATTGAAGAAACTTCATAATAGCCAGTTTAATGAGTCATTATAAAAATAATATCAAAATCAATTAGTGTAGCAGACTTCATATACAGGGGTCGTGAAAATACATACAACAAAAAGTGGATTGTTACTGATCGATCTGGACTTCTTTCGCTCCTTGTACATAAAAAAAATTAATAAAACTTCATAAAACACCATAATAAGTCGTTCAGGTATAACAAAAATTAAAAAGATCCATTTGTTGCAAACTTTTCGTATACAGGGTGCGTCAAAATACACACAACAAAAAATTGATCATTACCTGATCTCGACCTCTTTCTCCCCCTATATAGTCTATAAAATGAATAACTTTGAATTTTGACCGTTATTTTTTACCAAGATGGCAAATATAAAATCCCTCTGTCAAAAAAGTTACTGATATTCTTTAAATTGAGTGCCTGAACGAATCAGATAGGTAACTCTTTTTACTTTGGTGAAATAGAAAAGGAAAATAATAAAACAAGTGACAGTTCTTCCTCTTCTTGCAAAATCAACACGAAATGTCATAATTGACAAAAGTAAAAATGTCAACAGCTTTTGACATTTCTAAATATTAGACCAATGCCGTCTCTAATAGAACAGCCACGGAGCGAGATTTATGACGTCACGCTAGTTAGATACTGCGGATTAATAAATATAATAAGTAGAATACATGGAAAACATAATTATTCCCTCGTATCTTTGGTTTGTATTTTTAAAAATGATATAGTTTACATGAAATATACATAATATACAGTTAATAAATACAACTTTGGCAAATAAACTATGAACCATACAAATGCAGCAAATGTTTTACAATATACAAATAATGAATAGGTAGTACATAAGATAATGGGTAAAATGTAAAATATATTTTAAATTTTGGGGTTTGAAAATCGATCTAATTTAACAAAAACATTCAATATCTACTAATTCTACTAGTGATGTATTATTATTTGCAGTCACAAAATTTATTTATATATTATAATGTTTACTGCAATTAATAAACTAATATAAACTTGTCAAAAGATGACACATATTTTTTTAAAATTATTATTCTTAACACAAAAACTATCTACAATGACTGTGGAGTACGATTTCAGCCATATTGTAAAACATTTGCTGCATTTGTATGGTTCATAGTTTATCTGCCAAAGTATTTATTACTATAAATAGGTATATATATTGTGTTTATTAACTGTATATTATGTATATTTCATGTAAACTATATCATTTTTAAAATACAAACCAAAAATATGAGGAATAATTATGTTTTCCATGTATTCTACAACATATTTATTAATCCGTAGTATCTAACTAGCGTGACGTCATAAATCTCGATCCGTGGCTGTTCTATTAGAGACGGCATTGCGTCAGCATGGCCGCAAGTTGCTAACCTAATAAAATTAACACTAGAAAAGCCCGCGGGAACTGTCAAATTCAAAGTTATTCGTTTTACAGACTATACATATCAAAGATTCATTGAAACGTGACACTAGACATATTTTGACACACCCTTTTCTATACAAGGTGTGTTAAAATATACAAAAAAAAAACACTTAAGCTTACCTGGCCTTCCTAGATTTGTGCGGCGAATTACTTCGCGATCGGGAGTAGCTTTTCCTTTTGTGGCTTTTCTTGTGGGTCCTCGATTGCGATCTGCTGCGGGATCTGTTGTGCTTTTTGTTCTTTTTGTGCTTCCTATCAGGCGATCGCGTTTCCGACCTGGAGCGTGACCTCTTCTCGCTCATTGGTGGAGGCATATGGCTTCCCGATCGACTAGAAAAAAAATAATTTTCTTTATTTAAAAAAAATATTACATATAATATGTAATGCTTTACATATTATATGTAATGTTTTACATATTATATGTAATGTTTTACATATCATATGTAATGCATTCAGAGTACTTCAGTTTCTTTAAAAACATTACAAATATGTTACTTTATTTTTAAAAATCTATACGCCAGTGCAAGAGAGAGAGAGAGAGACAAACAATACCTAGGCAATGGCGCTCGTGGCCTTTTCTTAGCTCATTCATACTCTACATTACACATTAGATGTGATGTTTTTTAAAGAAATCTCAGAACTATATAATGAAACTATGACCAAACTACTCTAGCTCTATTCTGAATACATTACATATAATATGTAGTACATTACATATATGTAATGCATCACATTATATGTAATGCATCACATATAGGGGTAATGTTTTATATATCGTAATATGTAATGCATTCAGAGTAGTTCATAGTTTGTTTAAAAAAACATTACATATATGTTACTTTATTTTAAAAAATCTATACGCCAGTGCGAGAGAGAGAGAGAGAGACAAACAATACCAAGGCAATGGCGCTCGTGGCCTTTTCTTAGCTCATTCTTACTCTACATTACGCATTAGATGTAATGTTTTTTAAAGAAATCTCAGAACTATATAATGAAACTATGACCAAACTACTCTAGCTCTATTCTGAATACATTACATAATATGTAGTACATTACATATATGTAATGCATCACATATTATAGGTAATGTTTTACATATCATAATATGTAATGCATTCAGAGTAGTTCATAGTTTGTTTAAAAAACATTACATATATGTTACTTTATTTTAAAAAATCTATCCGCCAGTGCAAGAGAGAGAGAGAGACAAACAATACCTAGGCAATGGCGCTCGTGGCCTTTTCTTAGTTCATTCGTACTCTACATTACGCATTAGATGTAATGTTTTTTAAAGAAATCTCAAAACTATATAATGAAACTATGACCAAACTACTCTAGCTCTATTCTGAATACATTACATATAATATGTAATGCATTACATATTCACATATTATATGTAATGCATCACGTTTTTTTTGTAAATGAACTGATTTTTAAAATACCGAAAAAAAAACATCGTTAAATAAGCCTCACCTAATAAATCCACCCCAGGCGTTATGGGCGGAGGTTTTTTGAACATTTTGCGATTCATTGGTTGGCGAATTCTCTCCGCTAATTCCTTTAACCTTGATCCGTTCCGATTTGTATTTTTCGCATAATTCTTCCACTTGTCTCTCTAAATCGTCGATATTTGGCTGTAAAATACAAAAAAAAATAGGGTAAAAAAAATTAAAATAGATAAAAAAAAGTATTCGTACCTTTGATCTATTGTAAAGTTTCAGGATTTTGACGCAGATGTCTCTGATTTCTTTTTCCGTGGCTCCAAAAATGATGTACCAATGAGGGCTTTTCGGTAGAGGTAATTTAAGTTTACGGGCCGTGAGATAAATACAGGCGCACGCCACTGTTTCGGGTTGGTACCTGGAAATAAATAATATAAATATAAATAAATAAAGTAAGTAAAGTGTTTTAAGTTAACGCCTCCTTTTGCCAAGGTTAATCTGAACGAGCCAAGGTTCAATCCGCTGCCAAGATTAATCTGAACGAGGCCTATTTTGTTTACGCGAAATCCGAACCTCGATCCTCGGCCGTGGCAATGTCAATAGCCTACGTCAGTGTCTAAATGCAGCTTATACCAGTAGATTAACCTTATAGTTCCTTAACCGTCGCTTAACTTCGTATGAACTATCGGGAATAATATCCGAGAATAAAATACAATATCTTACCTAACAAAAACGTCAGTTCTTAAAGCGTCATTCATGTAGTTCCAGGAGTACTGCATCAGTTTTTGATTATTTTCGTAACCCAAAACTTGAAGATACAACACTATGATCTGAAAAAAGAAATAATTAAATAACAATAATTTATGCAGGTCTATTGCTATAGTCTATTTCGCGAAAGTTGACCATTCAAGCTCAATAATTGAATTCGAAGATGAAAAACATACTATTTTGGTTCTTACATGACCTCTATGAAGAATAAAAATAATTTTAGTAGTATAATTTAGTAAATAAAATAATTTAGTACAAAAAGTAGACAATAACATCCCTTGGGTTCACTGAAATCTCTTACTTGAACACCAGAAGTGGGATAATGACAGAAAATAAGTAAAGGAAGATTTACAAAAGTAAATGAATATGACAGATGTAATCGCAAAACATTTTCCGATGCACGTCATCAATCATATCGACATTGACATTAAAGTCTATAAATCTGACTAAATGAAATTTTGCCAAAAATGTTTAAATTTGTTGTATAATATAAGATACCAAGCAGCTCTTCATTTTACTTTATAGATTATAGATTTTAATGATTATAACAGATATTTTATTTAGATTAAAGCTGCACACATTGGTCACATTGCGCCGCGTTCAGCAATGTTGTCCTTTATTATTTGACAATTAACCTAGAGTCAGTCATTATTTTGTATAATATCGTGTTGGTGTTAAATATTTGTAATTCTCGTTTTTTTGCTTATTTTCGTAGTTTTTTTTTAAATTGCAGTTTTAAGCACGAACAGTTCTTTTAAGAACTAAATTTTCGAATTTTTGTATTGCATTTCTTGAAATTATGTGTTGAAAATATGCCGAAGCATTTAAACAGTCGAAGCAAAGAGCTTGTAGCTTCCTGATAAACTATTTTGAACGAGAACGTGACAATAAAAGGCCCTTTATTATCCTTGACGGCAGTCAGAGAAGTAAGTTTGATTGATAAGCACATTACACCACTTCACCAAGTTAGTTTTTATTAAATTCTGTGATTATTAGTTTGTGCATTAATAGCACCTTCTTACTTGTTATTACCACTTATGGCGTTGTAAGATGAACATCAATAAATAAATAAATAACCCATAATAAAGCTTGGAATAATCTTCATAATGGACTAGTTTTGCAAATATGTAATAAGTAAAATAAGCTATAAAAGAAATAAATCAATAATTAATTACTAAAATATTAGTTATTAAACTAAAAATAAAACGTAAAAAATAATATAATAAATATATTGTTTGTCGCTTATAAAGTAATATTCGTCTCAAGATAAATCCATCACAATCTGGCAGCGCTGTCACCATCGTTTATCACTCAAAGTTCATCACGTGCATCGGAAATTGTTTTGAGATTACCATATTGCGGTTCTTACATGACCTCTATGATGAATAAAAATGATTTTTTAGTACGATGAAACTTTGCTGGAAAACATAATCGAAACGCTATTCTTTCATATTAAAAATGTACTAAATTTAGTATGAAAAATTAGGCAATAACATCCTTGGGATTCACTGCAACGTGAACACCAGAAGTGGGATAATGACAGAAAATAAGTAAAGAAAGATTTGAATATGACAGATATAATAACATATTAAGACTAGAAAATCCAAGGTTTCTTTGTGTGCAGGGCTTGAATAGTCATCTTTTTTGAAAAAAAAAACGCACTCTATATGTAAATTACCTTGTGAGGGTGTTTGATATGAACGCAGAATCCTAGTTCTTTCAAAACTCTTCTCTCGGCTTTTATCACTAAATTTTTCGTGTGAATATAGTTCTGGTCCAAAATAACTGGATGAATAGGACTGTGAAAAATAAAACTTTCTTGAAACCGCGTACATACCACAGGAAGAAACTTTTGATTCTTCCTGTATCAAAAATGTTATTATTACAAACAAAATACTGTTTTTTGGGATGAAGAATGAAAAAAATTGAATTGAAATTTGGAGTCACATAATAATAAGAATAGTTTTTTAAGAAAATTAATTTTAAAAAAAATTAAATAAAATGGTGATAAAGTTTAAGTTCTCCAAGTTTCAACTTAGTTTTTTTTCTGAAGCATAACTTTGAATTGATTTAAATAAAAAAAGATTTTAAACTATGCCACCATTTTTCTTGTTACCTGTTCCTTACCATTGTTATTACTTTTAGGGTAATCTTACCATCATTATTATGATTTTTTTCGAGCCCTTTTTACATTATTGTCTATCCCGTTAGTATCAATTTTCTCACAACAGCTAGTAAGGTTCTGAAAAAACTCTAAAAAAATTAATAGACAATGAAAATGTATGGTTACGATGGTCAAAAATAATTCTAAAACATTCTGGATTTTTCTTCGAGTCTTCTTATCTTCCATTTTTACCGACGTCAATATGGTTTGACATTTTTTGGAATTATCAGTATTTTAATAAAAGGCAAGAAACGCAATAATTTTTCTAAATAAAAATATATAAATGTATTCTGTCTTGATATAAACTAGTTAAATTTATGTGTTGGAGATATTCTAATACAAAAAGTGAACATTATATTCTTACCTTTTCAGCTAAAAATTTTGTATAATACAATAAAAAAATCAAGTTCAAGTTACCCCTGTATATTATCTAGAATTTCTTTGATCTTTATAATCAAACGAGCCAAGGTACATTTTAGCAGACTACATGCAAAAAAATAACAGAAAATACAATTATCTATGGATTAAAATGACAGACAAAAATGGCACAGCCACGTATCTTTTTGATGGACAGACTGTAGCTGTATACAGGGTGTCCCAGAAATAAGTGCAAGTATTTTAAGGGGTGGTAGATTTCGATAAAAGAAACATATGTTCTCTTTATCGTTTTTTCAAATAAGTCCAAAATAACGGAGTTATTTTACTCAAAAAAAATGATTTTTTGCTCAAATTTTGAGAACCACTGGATCTTTTCTGGATTTTCTTTCTTATAAATTTAATCTACTATCTATTATCAAGAAATTATGTTTTTTAACTAAAAACTAAAAAAATTCCAAAAATTTTTTCAAAAAATTCCGGATTTTCAAAAAAAATTTTCACGATAAAAACCTCGTAGACGTGTTTCTGGGGTTGAACCATTTAAAACACTTGCACTTATTTCTGGGACACATTGTATACTGGCTACGTGTTTTTTTTTGTTGCATAACCTTAAGTATACCCCATAACATTAGTAGTATTAAATAAAAAATGTGACTGGACAACACTAATCCAGGGATGTGAAAAATATATGCACGAAAGACTGTTTGAAACATATGAATCGCACATAAATATGTTTACCATGGAAGCCAGCCAATATTAATATTTTCATAATAAACCACAAAAAAAAACATTTAAAAAATTAATATAATAACGTCGGGCTGTAGATCAGGAAATGTAGAAAATGTCGAAGACGGAGAGTTGGATAGAAGATGGCGAGCTGGCCTTTGTGGAACCGTCTCAGATACTGGCTTTTGTGCAAGGAAAAATAGCAACTGGAATATAAAATTTATATTGTCATATCTTTTCCAATATTGTCAGAAAAAAATGTCACTTTAATTCAACAGTAAATTGTCTTTTGTCAATTTTTGGATGTTGTCTCTAGAAATTGATTCTTTTCTTTCGTTGGGCGGTTTTTTGAGATACACTGTATATTTTTGGACATATATTTTTGGAAAAATGACAGACAATCTTTGACTGTCATATATTCCTTTGCAGCTGATATTTTTTAAACGATATCAATTATTGATAAAAATGACAGAAAATACAATTTATATGCGAATTAAAATGGCAGATAACAACGAATGTCACTGTCATGTCTTCTTGTTGGACAGACAATGCTTTATATGAACAAATGATATGTCTAATAATGACAGACCACATATTATCATTTAACACCATATAATCCCAGTTATATGGGAAAGTACTACCAGTCATGTCCTATGCATGATGACCTACAACACTTAAAAGGGACATTATAAGGAAACTACAGATCGCACAACGCCCAATGGAACGAAATATGCTGGAAATAACCAAGGTAGACCGTAAAAGAATAGAGTGGATATGACACAAGACCCAGGCAATAGATGTCAGCCACAGAATCAAATCCCTCAAGTGGCAATATGGGCAGGATACCTGGCAAGAAGGACGGACAACAGATGGACCACAAAAATTATAGCATGTCACCCCCGAGGAATTAAGAGGCCTAGAAGAAGACCGAACCTGAGATGGGACCATGATATCAGGAAAATAGCAGGTGCCTGCATAGCCAACAATAGAACAATGGGCCCAACACCATAATTGGATACAGTTGAATAAGTTGAAAATGATGATAATGAATACCACTTATATGGGAAATTACACCAAAATTTATATATACCGTAGTCACATAGTGAATTCCGTTTTTTCATGAAGATCCTAGTTATCTTATTAGGTTAGTTCTTTTCATTAAGTGACTAGGCTCTTCATGAAAAGACGGAATACACTATGACACTACAACTTATATACCACTTGATAATAATAGTAATGATAACAATAAAATCAGAAAATTAATTTAGTGTTGAATTTTCTTAAACTTGCATTTAACTGTAAAAAACGACGTCATGGTACCCATAAAACTAACAATTTAGTTAAAGCTTTTCTACACCAAACCAGATGTTCTTGACAAGAACTGTGTGATACTTTTTGACAGACATTTAAATTACAATAACAAAATATTCCTAAAACACTTGATTTTTGTCTCTAAAAAATTTAATTATTTTAAATTAGTTTTAAGATTCAACAAGAACACTAAAACACAGAGCTGTCATTGTCAGAAACATCATGGATAGATGTAAAATTCAAACTTATGTCCCCAAAAAAGTCTTATATGGGTATTTGCCCCCTCGCAAAAAAATCTACAAAATAATATAGTTATTTTTTGTAAACACTACTGCGTTAATCCAACAGAGACTAATTGTCAGCAGTGGTCTACCAGTAAACAAATTTGCCTAATGGACAAAAAACTGCTTAACGTTTCGGAAAGTTTCGGAAGCAAAAAAAAATACAAAGAACAAAGAAAAAAAACTATTTTAAATAGTTTGCTATACAGGGCGTTTCAAAACAAATGCGAAAAACTTCAGGGGGTGATTCCTTGTTCAAAATAAAGGGTAGTTTGCTTTATAAACGTTGGGTCAAAAGTCAACCATTAGGGAGATATCGCGGTACAAAGATGGCGGAAAAATAATGTTTTTATTTTTTTATCTCGAAAAAGCGATAGACTAATTTTTATTTTATGGAAGCATTACTGTTATGAAAACACACTTTTGGTAATTTTCTCACTTTTTTAAAATGAGTGGAAGAGGTTGAAATAAACTACCCCTATCATTCTTGTTAACGAAATTTAAAGAAAAATCTTATCAAACACATGCAAAAATTAATTTGGAAAGTTTAGTTTGTTTAGAAACTTTTTTATCTCTTGTGTTTTTTTGATAAAACTCACCAATTTGAAATTAAAAAATAAAATGTAAAGCATTACATGTCAGGACAAAAAACATTTTTAAATAAAGAATCTAGTGGGCTGCTGTAAAACAGTTTTATTTCGTAATAATATCGTTACATTTGCAGTAGAGTAATGTCAAATAAAATAATATTAGAAACATCCTAAAAAGTGACAGCGGCCGACTAGATTTTTTCCTATAAAAATTACAGCAGCCCACTAGATTCTTTATCTTAAAATATATTTTGTCCTGACATGTACCTAATGCTTTACATTTTATTTTTTAATTTCAAATCGGTGAGTTTTATCAAAAAAAAAACACAAGAGATAAAAAAGTTTCTAAACAAACTAAACTATCCAAATTAATGTTTGCATGTGTTTGATAAGATTTTTCTTTAAATTTCGTTAATAAGAACGATAGGGGTAGTTTATTTCAACCCCTTCCACTCATTTTAAAAAGTGAGAAAATTACCAGAAAGTGTGTTTTCATAACAGTAATGCTTCCATAAAATTTCATTAGTCTATCGTTGTTTTCAAGATAAAAAAATAAAAACATTATTTTTCAGCCATCTTTGTACCGTGATATCTCCCTAATGGTTGACTTTTGACCCAACGTTTATAAAGCAAACTACCCTTTATTTTGAACAAGGAATCACAACCCTGACATTTTTCGCATTTGTTTTGAAACACCCTGTATAATAAATTAAATGCAACTATTTGCAAACACTTTTATTTTATCTCCGAAACTAAAGTTCCAAAAAAATTCGTAATATATCTAGAAATTCATTTACCCACTAGTAGTTAGAAAAAGCGTTTTTGGTAAACTCTGTCTCTAATAGTTTCTGAAAAATAAAATTAATTTTTTTAAAAAGGTCCGATTAAATTTATATCTCCGAAACTAAAGTTCCAAAAAAATTCGTAATATATCTAGAAATTCATTTACCCACTAGTAGTTATAAAAAGCGTTTTTGGTAAACTCTGTTTTTTTTTAAACAGAGACATCTACAAAAACCGTTGGCGTTCTATTTTAATTGTCTCCATTGGATTAACGCAGCAGCGTTTACAAAAAATAACTATTTTATTTTGTAGATTTTCTTGTAATGGCAAAATACCCATACATAACTTTTTTTGGAGAGATGAATCCGCCACTTAGTGTTAACCTCAATACCTACTAAACTTTCATTTGAGATAAATAATAGATTTTGACAAAAGAAATATTAGAAAATCATAATATATATAATCTTAATAATTAAATATAAGACTTATACTCCATATTCAGCTTATTAATGTTGCATGACGCATACACTTAAATACTTCATATCCCACTAAGTGTTTCTCAATCTTCTTCATGTATGTATCAAAATTCCTCAAACCTCAAAAATGCCTACCTTCAAACATTTGACATATTTTTGACACTTCTTCTATTTTATGTCAATTCATTTTCAAGTCGTCTTTGACTTATCAAGTTTCTATCCAGTCTTTAGTTAATTTTATCTTCAATTCTTCTGTTTTTGATATTCCCCTTCAATTTTTCTTGTGTTCCATACTTATTTTTTCCTTCTCATGATGTTTTTTGAAATTTTTTAACAGAGTAACATAACCTAATATTCATTTAACACAATATACAAAGCCTTAAAGAAAAATATACCACACTGGTTCCTTTTTGTATTAGAATATACCACCTTTTTCTTTCTAAAACCTACCTTAATTTTCCCATTCTATTATAAATTATTATAAAACCAAAATAAATACAAAATCTGAAACTAAACAAATGTAATACATGACATATGTTATTAAGAGTTTCATTTATACTTGCCTTCTATTAAAACTAATACTAATTAACAGAGATTTGTCGCTTACAATTTGAGAACAAATCCAAAAACGGTCAAACCATATCAAAACCAATGCTCACCAATAATCGATTTTTAGTCTCGGAGACGTTTTAAGCGATTTAATGCAGATTCCCACAGCTTCTTAGGGGTGATGTGTTTTTTCAAGACACACCCAGTACAATGTGAGCAGATTTTTGGGACACAGTCTGTAATAACAATATACTTTGAGTATTTTCTAATATCTGAATCGTACAGAATAAAACCAAGTTTATGTGTTACTTCTTACTGAAAGAATAATTTGTCCTACAGAGATTTTTAAATAATTTTTCCTAACCAGTTTTTTAATAAACAATGTCAATTGATACTTCAACAATTACAGAATACATTATTTCAAGTTTTAATAATATAAGAAAACTATATTTCTGACAAAATAGCAAATAAAACAGTTAATATAGCCTTTTAATAACTAATAGCAACAAACAGAACATCTAAAATCCCCCTTTTTATCACTTGTTTGTTTAAAAACCATTAACATGTTCCTAGCATTATTTTGATCATGGATAAATATAAATAAGTAGATCACTGGTATAACATTTTAATTTCAACTTGTTTTATCCTCAAAGTATCTGTAAAATCATAAAAAAAACTACAAAACATACAAAAGTTGAAACTAAAATACTACATTCCCTTGACTCACTCGATTACATTTATTCAAGACAATATTGATTATTTCCTCGATAACCCTGATTTGAAAGTAAACAAATTTTATATATTTACCTTTATATACTTATATACGACTAACATAGCCCTAACATATCAGCTAAAATCAGCCTGATCAAAACCACATGGGCAATGTTATATAATAAAGGGATTAAATAAGAATCCCATATGTAATAAATAAAGATCGTATTATATCCACAATCTCAAAAAAAATTGGCACTATACATATATAAAAATATAAACAAAAATTGTTATGCTTCAGAAAAAAATGGGAATTAGTGATAATAATGTTTCGTTTATGGATAACTTTTAGACAAATTAGGTTACCTAAAGTTATCAATAAATTAAAACAAAACTACAGATTTCTGAAAGATAAAATGATAAATTTTGACCCTAGTAGGTGTTCAGAAACAGAATATGATGGTACTAAAGAAAAAAATGCGTATTTACGTATAATAAAGTGGTACTTACTTTCCATTGTTCACTTGTCGAATATGCGTGAACACATTAATAACATCTCTGACCCTTCGGGGGGCTTCTTCTATCTTTGAGGCGAGACAAACACAGCCCATAGCCGTGTGTTCGACTGGGTGGCGTACTAAACTTTTGGAGTAGTAAAATCTTTGAAGTAGTACTTGTCCAGTCGCCATAGCTACCTACAAGGAAGGCGGCCAAAAAGTACGTTAAATAACAAGTTCCCAACGAAATAAATACAATAAAAACATAGTATTTCTAAAGCTGAGTGCTTACCTGAGGTAGTTTTAATAAAATCCCGGCGGATTGTATCAGTTCACAACCGTAAATGCGCAAATCTGTTTCAGCATCCAGACACAAGCCATCTTTTTGTGATGGTGTGTTTAGGAGCCGTTCCTCGGGCAAAAGCTGATTTTTCAGCGTGAGAATCACTTTGCCATACGGTTTTACATTGTTTTTGGTTGAATTTGACGCACTTTTTTCGTCATTTAATGCCATATTCAATCATCAAACTAGGAAATTGTACGTACGAAATGCTAAAACTGACACAAATAACAAAATGGAAGGCAGAGCAGAAGGCAGAAATGAAGTTTGTCAAGTTTGACGTTTAATGAACGGAAGTGATGGTGGACATTCTTTATGCTTCTGTGGCACGGGTGTATCGATAGATCCGTGTTCTGTGGTCGTAGTAGTTCAAATATCCTATCTTTTGTTGTCAATTTTTTGTTGATATACTTATCTGTGGTTTATATTTGAATTTTGAATTGGAAATTGGCAGTTGATTGAAAAATACTTAAAATAGATATGTTTTTAAAAAATTTTTAATAAAAGTTTTATAGAATATTTTAGGAGCTGTAAAATGAGCAATGAAAACCCTCTTATATTAAGACTTGAGCTGCAAGGTAGGCATTTTACTTGTTAATTCTACTAAAGTCGCTATATTTAATAAACATACATTTTACTGAGTCTACATTTTTAGGCAAGAGCAATAGCCCTCTGTTTAGAGACCTACGCTACGATATTTGTATTTAAACAGGCGACTTATTAGCATAGCACGTTGATCACCAACTTGAAGACATTGTCCAGATTTTCAGTGAAGAAAACTGGAAGACGATAAGCTTTACTTGAACAGCTCTGTTTGAAGATATGGTTCGAGAAAGAAAAGAACAAAAAGAATACACAAAGTACTACTAAATAACAAAATTAAGTAAATTTAGATAGCATTGTTGAATAATTTGTATTTATCAGAAGAAATAGTGTAGTCTTACAATTTTCTTTATTTTTTCCAGTTACCAGTAAGACAGAGTGGTATATTTTAGAAAGAAATGGATATAAAAACAGCTTGCAATATTCTTTATTTTACATAAAAAGTCAGGGTAGTGATCCACTGTTTAGAAATTAGAAAGACACATTTTAAGTAATATTTTTATAGACATACATGGGTGATACAAACATATTTTTACACTTAAGTTTTAGATTTAAAATTGCCATTCCAAGAGAAATACTAAATTATTGAAGCTTTCCAGCAGGAATGGGCCTTCCTTCATGAATATACATACTAAAATAGGCCATATTATACTTGAATTATACAGGGCGAGTTAGTTTTGGACTTGAAATTTGTTTAAAATGTACAGTGATATTTAATTATTAATTAATATGATAAAAAATCATGTGAGAGATCTTGTTTTATTTATTTGAGTACAGAATGTGTATGGTAAAAGCAAAAAATCCCTCTAGATAATGGAAGTTTATCAAAAATGCTGAAACATGTAGTTTGAAAGGAAAAAATAAGTTACTGAGTACCTGGTATATAATAATATACTCTAGAGCCTTACTAGAATGTTATTTAACAAGATTACTTTGAATTTAATTGAAATATCTAACCTGTTGCTTTTGGTTTAACTCCGTATATTAGAATTTTTTAATTTCTCTTATTTAGAGATTCTAAGATACTGTATTTACTAAATATTTACTGTTAATCGTGTAAAGAATATATAATATTAAGAGATTTATGTTTAATAAGTGTGCACAAGTTATAAATAAAGATGTTACGATGAACCAAAATATATCAAACACTCAAAATTCTTCTTTAGTCTTGTGTTGTTTTAGGGTTTGGAAATTATTAAAAATCTACAAAACCTTAATTAGAATAGCACAGAATCATGTCAAATGAGATTTCTTTTTGAATTCAGTGCATAATTCGTTAAATAAAAGCAAGAAATCTTGGCCATTACATTGACTAACAAAATGTCCTGTAGAAGTTATATGTTGGGGTAATACTATCTTGTTTTATGATTTATAGATGTAATAAGGCTCTATTTAACTAAATATTACATCAGTTAATTAAATATCGAATAACAAAGTTATATCCTTGTTATATTAATTGAATATTCTAAAGGCTACCGAACCGCCATGATATTTTTTTTTTCTAATTTATATGTGTTTGATAGGTTTGAAACTGCCTAGTTAACTATATTTATTGTTAATCTATAATTCCTTAACTATTTTAAAGGTTCAAAACCTTTTTTAAGGCAAAAAATCTATTTTTTATGATATTAACAATTACGGACATTGGTGTAATAAAAATGCGATATCTTTGTGAATTTTATTTTATTTGTTTATTGTTTGGTGTCATTTTATTCGGAAAACATGTAGCTACATTTCCCTGGTAGTAGTTTAGTCTCCAAGGTAGTGTTATATTGCTAAATTTCCATTTGAACTTGAAATTTAGGTAAAAAAATACATAATTTTCCATCGAAACAAAAGAGAAACGCGCGTTGGGGCTCCCTCTAGCGTCAAAAATCATGAACCGAGCGCCAAAGCTCAATATTATTGGTCGTTTCGGTTGATCTACGTCATTTTTGGACGGACCGTTGACGATGTAACATCTATGTCGGTTGCGTCTCCAGAATTTTTGTTAATTGGGAGTGAAAAATGCATTTTCTTTATATATTGTGCTCGGAAAACATGTGTATTGCATATCTGAACTGCTAGAGAGGGTAAGTGCGACCATTTTCCTACGAATTTCCCGATATTTTTCGAAAAATTCGACCATCTAAAGGCGGCTGGTAGAAGCAGAAAATCAACAAAAAAGTCAAAGCCGCCTCTATTTTGTTATTAATTCTTTCTGTTTAGTTTTTTTTATATGTACTTTCTGTTGCTATAAATAGATATGTTTTTTTGTGGATTGAAAGTATTTTACATAAAATAATTAACTAGAAAGAAGTGTCAACTCTGTGTTAAATCGTGGAAACACGATACGCCACCGAAAGCCTTCGTTGTCGTCTGGAGAACTAATTTTCCAATTGACAGGTTGACATGATAAGGACATGATGGCTTAATTTTCATTTCCGTTTCCGGTTATTCAATGGCGGGTCCTCT